AGTCCGTGCCTTTGCGAGAAAGGGTTAAGAGGTGAAGAGGAAATGGGATGGGGGGAGTAGGAGGGGCAGAGAAGGGGATCATGAGGTTAGGGCGTGCCGTAAAGTGTGGTTGAAAGATGGACATTATGGGGCCTTTAAATGCTAGGAAAAGAGCTACCATCTTTTATGGCTCAATGTATGTTACGAGCATCACCCTAAACCTGGGGATATCATAAAGTTGGAGTAGGCTCACAGCCCGGGGAACAACCCTTATGACCTGTGCCTTTTCTCAGCACCATCGACCACACAGAAGCAAGCGAGTCCCCAGGCTGTTTACAAGTCAAGGTAAACCCGCAAACCCTACAACCACCAGCGCTCAACAGATCAATAGAGGTGGGAATCGTGTTTATGTCTCAGATGGAGGGGCGCGTACAGCTTTCATCTTCTTCCTCTCTCTTGTGTTCATGTCTTTGCACACACTAATATGCAGGCACAAAGGCAAACAGTATATGTCAGCCTGTCTCTGGTGAGTTCATAAAGATGGTTTGTAGACCAAAACAGGCAAAATGATCAATACGTTGCCTTTTCCTGCTCACTGTGCATGCCACATACAGCAGTCTTCCCTTTCCCAACACCCCCAACCATTCTGTGCTTTCCGGGAACAATAGCATCTCGGTTTGATCAGGCCTGCTATGCAAATACTAAAGGGCAATACTCCACAATACAAAGAAGGGAAACTTTGAATTGTATTATTATTTACATGCAATTTTCCTAATGTAATCTATCATATCTTTTATGTGGAAAAGATATATTTCAGTGTAAGCCACAGTGTTATAACATAAGATAAGAAAATAAGTAGGATTACACTTAAAATCCTGAAAACCATAAACAATTCTTTTTTACAAGCAACACAGAGGTCTCATTTATAATGAAAACCAGCAAGCTGTACTGAATTCACATCATCAAACCAACTGAAAAGTCATGTGTGGAAGAATGATGCATACAACATCATAAATACACAAATCAGGCTGAAAGCTGTTCATTGTTTTAATAAAATCTAATGACAAGTTAGCTTGTCACTAAAGTGAAGCAGCCGAGGCACCCAAAAAGAACAAAAAGATAATTATACTACATAGTTATCGATTAGCTGTGCATGGGGAACTAATTACCAAATGATATGCTTGTCTATAGAGCTTAGACTTGATTTTTTGCTTCATAATACTTAACTTGTTTTCAATGTCAGGAGGTTATACTAATTCCAAGCTTCAATATTGAGCCGGGCACGCTAACATTTACAGCTCATTTTTGAGAAAATACTTCTTTTTTTTGATCATGTGAATTTTGGTTGTAAAGTTATGATGAATTCCTGGTTGGAGAAGTGGCCCCGGCTCCACGAGGACGAAAACGGGTTGAATCCGCATATTTCTCATGCGTATAGCCCTCTAAGCTCGACGACGCCGTAAGGGAAACGTAGAAACAGACCCCGCAAACGACAACGGGTCCAAAGGTGGATAGATCTGGGAACGGAGCGCTCTGGGGGGTCCAACGGGGCCGTGGAGTCGCCTATACGGTCATTCGTTTTCATAGCCCCCGCCTCTCCCCGCCTCTCCCCCCGCAGGGTTGCTATCGTGCTCCAGTCGCTACTGACCATGCTACAGTTCTTTGTGCAACATCTACAGGAGCTCCTCCTTGAATTCAGATTATTTATCTTTATCTCGATATGGACATAAACGCGAGTGAAGTCTAATCTGACAGGACGGAGACACGCAGCTCCTGCCGCTGTGATGCAGCGGGAGCAAAACACACACTTCAAGTCAGATCATCACCCTTAGCTATTTTAATTACCTCTCAAACTACCTAAACTAGTTATAAATATGTTCATTTTTACTGTCGGGTCACTCATTACAGGATCAGCTGCTGCATGAGACAGACACTGACCTGTCAGAAGAGAGGAAAAAGAGACAGGCTCCGTGTATTTGATGATTATATATCATTATATCGTCGTTATTCATTTGTTTTAAAGCTCAATAAATAACAATGAAGACCTTTGACCGGCACTTTTATAATTTTGTCCGGAAGATTTAAACTTTAACACACGCTGACCGGCGAAAAACTCTGCCCGGTTCTGTCGGCCCCCACCGCGGAGAATACACAGAAGTGCAGCCATGACAACCATTCTTCTTCGCTGCTTTTGTGGAGGAAGTTGCTGCTTTTGTGGAGGAAGTTACAGCGCCACGTACAGGTTCGGCATATGTACTGCAGCTTTTCCAGCGTTTGGATGTAAACGGAGCCGTCTCGTGGAGCTTGACACAATCCGGTGTATATTGCGTGGGGACGGAAGGTTTTTTGCGGGTTGCATTTGCGTTACTCCGATGCGTTTTGCCGTATTTGTCCTCGTGGAGCCGGGGCTGCTATTATACTGAAAGGTGTCAGGTAGTCACACTCTCCTCCATCTTATTCAGCTTTTTTCATAGCATTTCTTTTTTAACCATTAAAAACAAACAGAAATACAATTTATAGACGCAGTACACACCTGGGTACAAACTGCTCCACAAAGTAGCCCTGAGGGAGTGATGAGACAAAGAGAATCAGGAGAAACTGAGGATATATGGCAAAGGTAACCACAGTTAGTGCCATAAATGACAGGCTGAGAGGAAGAGGATGAGTGTTTGATTCAGAGTTTATAGATGTAGCATCAGGGGGCAGCTTGGTCCAAATGACCTCTCAGCCATTTACCCCCTCCCTCTGTATAATGGAGGACCTTTTCCACCCCAGAATAAATGACAGAGTGACCCCGTTACTATTTCCAGTGGTGGGGATGAATTAGGAAACAACCCTCTGGGGGAGGTGCTTTGGGTTAGATTAATGGTCAACAGATGTAAGGGAACACCCAACCACCATGTCAACATTAAGAAGGGCGTTTGTGTAAAAATATATATATAAGTCATATAGTTGTGTGAAATGGAAATATTGGGAGATCTCTTGTTATTTTCTCTGTTCCAAAATGCTGTATAATAAAATCTACTCAAAAATAAATGAATCCCTAGGAGCTGTGTTCAATAAACAAAATGGCGTAAGTTGGAGATGGCCCATGGGGATAGATTCATGTTGGATCACAGAATCCAGGAAATGAACAACGAAGAGACAAAAGGGAGTGGAATGTCACCAGATAAAAACAACATCAAATTAGATTGAAGGAGAATGACTAAAACACTCTATAAAGTTAGTGTTGTTAGTGGTATAAACATGTGCAGCTTGAGTCTCTTTCAGTTCATATAATCAGATGCAGATAGATAAACTCAAATGATTAAATCTATGCTTGTTTGTAACAAAGAAAAGTTCAGTGCTTTAAACATCTCATAATGAATCATAATTGTTTGTTAAAAAGCTGCAGAAACAAGCATCTGGAGGCACGCACTGTTTACTGGAATATATTCAATAGCAATTATGGTTTATTATGATATTCTATGAACAGATATAATAGACAGCCACACCTTAAAGTCTTTGAATAAGTCACAAAGTAAAATCTGTATGGCAAATGAGATCAAATGGAGAGTAGTAGGTAAAGTGAATGCATAGATCAGTGTATTTTTGACTTTGGATTTAGCAACACCCAGATCTTTAAAGTTAAAAGATACAGAGGACCTGAGAGGGCCTGTACTATTATATAATCACTGCTGTGTGGCAGAAAATATGACATTTAGTTTGCATGCAAGTTGAATTAAAGGTAAGAAAGTAGTTCCGAGATTATCATTGTAATACCATCCATATGAAATATCAGATACGCCACATTGTATATGTAAATACCATAGTTTTTGATTTATCAGTAGTAGCTATATGTAGTCATATACACTCTAGTCTATGCTATTATGTTAACATGGTGAATCTGAAATAAAAGTCATAATATCCTGACCCCTCGCATGTTGTGTTGATTACGGTACTGCATTATTTTATTATTAAAATGTCAATCAATTGTGTTTACTTCATGTCCCAACAACCTCTCTTCACAGCTTCATACCACTCAAATATATTGTATTGTTTTTTTAATTTTCAGAGTAAAACCGCACACACCTGGGTGTGTGTGAGTAAGCGGGTTCGGCTAGAAGTTTTTAACGGTGACACACTGACACATAAACTTCAAACACAGGCTCCCACACTCTGAAGTGATGAACGCCTGGGGAAAACATTCCTCTTAAATACAAAAGCAGATTATTAATGTGGGAAGACATGGTTTGATTGATCTCACTGACTCGACTTGTGCTTGTCTTGACGTGACTATGAAAAGAAACCACGTTAGTAAACACCCGGAGGGGTAGACTCTTCTTCCTGAGAAACGGCACTTTGCACATTTTACCCTGCAAACATGATACATTTCTGAAAGGGTTGACTCACCTACATGAAGTAAATCATATTTTTCTCACTTTTTAAAAATTCGTATCTATCTATGCACAATTCTACAGGGGTCCAACACCTGAACAAAAGACAGCACCACAATCTGTATGGTTACAAGAGTCAGAATTGACATGTGGTGCCTAAGCTATGCATTAAACTGAATCTCACTCTCTTGTTAAACAATAATGTCTTTGAGTGTGCTGCTCATTTCAATCTGCCAGTCCTTACTTGTAAGATTTGGTTGTGTATGCACAGAGATACGAATACACACACACACCGAGCCAGTGGTGAAATATAAACAAGTATATTTTCTCAGGTGGATCATTTTCATACGCCATTCATTGGCCACTATGCTTGATTATTTAAATGTTATGCTACGTGTCCTTTTACTCTACAACATTTCACATACAATTTTGTACTTTTGCTGATTCCAAATTTCCAGAATAAATGAGCTCCAATTAATAATCTACGTTTGAGTCCTGAAATTGACACAATTGTGCTTTATTGCTGTACAGGTACAGTACTTATAAAACATTGGGAACATAATAATTATGAAAGATCACATACAATCTTTTTTCTTTCCACAAACACATATGTATGCAGGTTAAAATATACTGTATGTCATGTACAAAAAGAAAGACGACAACAATAAAAAAAAAGCAACAACACTATGAAAGGCAGTGAGATACCCCTGCTAAAATATTGTGTCTCTCCGGACAACTATACATGGACTGGGGACGGTAAAATGGCCGCTCTGCACTGGCTGTAGCACCAGAGAGCTGATCTCAGAGCAGAGGATTGATAGATTCCTGACCAACAACAATGACTGGCTGCCAGAGTTCTGCTTACGACAGACTGATCATCAGGGATTGTAAATGACGGAGCAGTCCAGTTAAAGGTGGATGTAAATGGATGATGAGTGTTTATATGACAGACAGGGGACAGTGCAATGATTCACAGTGCAGTGGGAAGCTGTTCTTCACATTATAAAGCCATATTTATCTTTTCAGCATGAGGACGTTATAAAGGGCCGGGCCCAACATGTGGTCATGCAAGGTAAAAGCTTGATATGCTTTAAAAGACAATACAAAAACAATTAATCTCCTCATTTCATGATTTCAGTGAACATGGAATCACACAAAACCATAATGCAAACGACTAACCAGAACCCTGATCATGATAAAGGACTAATTCAGAGGCTCTATGTTTTCTTTCATTGGCAAGGTTGAGTAGCTTGATCTTGGCTGAACCGTGATGAAAATGTTTGACATAGTTCTGCATTGCAGTGCTACTCATGCAACCCCAATCTCAGCACACGGAGCAAATCAATACCGTATCAGAAATTCTGCATCATTATTAACTTGCTTTTTTAAAAAAATGGCCTGCACACACACAACTTCTGAAGACAATAAATCACATTAAGCAGTCAGGTACACTGTTTAGATACAGGCGCATGTTCCAGTAATAATATACACAGGGTTTCAGGCAGTGGAAGAAAACGTTGCTATTATACATTCAGCCAGTCAGTCAAAAATGCAGCTCAGCCATCTCTGTTGTGAGTATCCGTGATATCCTCTAATCCCTCTCGAATATTTGGGCCCTGACAGCAGCTGAGATCGATCCTGTGATAGCGCTGCTAATTCGTAAGTCCGAATCAATCAGACACATTGTGGGTGATCAGTGGGAATGAGAAATCAATTAGAGCTATTGATACTTTGCGGCTCCAACAATCCCGACCGATCTTCAAAGATCAAAAAGCTTGTTGAGACACGCCCAGCCCATTACCGAAGTCAACACCACACCACATAAATATTGTGCAATAAAACATCCAAATACAATGAAAACATTTGCCTTGCATCATTGGAACAGAACAAAGGGGCCAAGAGGGAGGGGAAATATTAAATAGAGTATAAAGAATTTAATAGCCATAGACAATCATTCTGAAAAAAAGATATTCACATTTTAAAATAAACCTCTTCTCTTTACCTCAGTCATTGCATCTAACCCAAGACATTCTTAAATCTCAGTTTCACCATCATAGACAGCATTATCTCATCTCTTCCTCTTTCAATTCAATCCCGGTGCTTTCCTATCATACAGTAAAAGGTTGAACATACAACACTGGTCACTATTTACAAAGCGGTCATCATGGAAACACCCGTAGAGCCGGTTTGATCCATTAGAAAGGGGGGGTGGGAAAGAGGTGGGTTTGGTGGGGTCGAGGAGGAGGAGATGAAGGTCTGTACAATAATTGAGTTCATCTGTGCGTGAGTTCCTGAGCTCTGCACAGTCTCCTGAACAACACCCAACACACAAAACTGTTCAGGTGTTGATGAGACACAATGAGAGTTTAGTTGCTACTTTTCAAGTGTAGACTGTTTGTTTTTTTCTCTTCTTTTCTCCATGTTCATCTGATCTATTGAGAAACGGTCCATTGAATCAACACTGAAGCACAGTTATGATTTGGTCATTCATGTCAGTCTGTACATATGAGTATTTTTTAAATAACTCTATTATTTTAGACGTCTATTTTGCAAGTTGTATCACTTTGGCACAGAGTTTCATGTTCACAACATGAACTATATACCTGTCAGCTAAAGCTATGTTACTTAGCTTTACCTTTATACCTTAAACCACAGTCCTTTCTTTTGTTGGATCCCCTTTTCCTCGTAAAGGTAAGTGCAGTAGTTTCTATTTAGGCCAGAGGTTTTTGTTCCCCAAAGGCTGGTGGTAACAATGAGGAAGAGAAGTGCACCTTGGGATATTACTGAGGTTACCCTGACCCCTGGTCTCTCATTGCCAGGGCTGCAGTAGCACTTGGTGCCCGAATGTGAGAGGCGAGGTGAGAGCTGTACCTGAAAAGGTCCCATGTCTGATCCCGTACGAAGGCCATGTTTGACTTGTAAACTTCAGAGAGGTCAGAGCCTCGGGGGCGCACGCACAAGCATTCATGGGAACATCACAGGACAGCAAGTCACGTATTACAGCACCATGTTCTGGGGTGGAGCTCCTTTGGGTGCAGCAGAACAACACAGGCTAGCATACAGACAGACTAAAAGGGCCATTTAATAGACTATGAAAACATTACTACTCTGTTCTTTAATTCAACCACCCTTTTATGGACGTCATACATTTTGTCTTAGAAGAACTGAAAATAATTCATAATATGTCTCCTTCTAATAATAAAATCTCGATCTCTATAGACTTTTACTGTGTCTGTGTCCCACTGTATCTTTTCATAGAAGTGTTACAGAGTGCCGAGTTTGTATCATTTAGGTTATGGGATCCTCCACAGTCGAGGTCAAAGGCGCAGAGGCGGGACCTTCAGCCCAGGGACTTGACGCTCTAACATAACTCATGGGCATGGAGGTAACTTGGTCCAAAGAAAAAAAAATGTGATTCTGACTGGAGTGAAAAAGAAAAAGGAGCTGCATCTGCATATAACCTCTGTCATGGAGAGGCCTTCCTGTTGGTCCAGAGCAGCGTGTGGGGCTGGGGGGGGGTCTGAGGTGGGCGGTGCTTCCAGTCACCCCGCCCCTCACACTGAACTCGTCGCCATCGCAGAAGATCCCCAAGGGTGGCACTCTCATCCCCGTTGGACAGACGTAACCGCTGGAACACCTGGAGCCAAGAAGAAGGGGAAGAAGAGAACGTGATGTAACTCAAATCACACATAAATAGTGACTTTCCCCTGAGTGGATTGACAAGAAGATGACAGAAAGCTGAAATGACCAGGCCGTGATTGGAGGGGAGTGTAAATGATAAGCAGTGGTTTCATTTCAAGACAAAGGTATCACATTTGTCGTGCAAAAATGGCAATAAAAGATGTCAAATATCATCATGTCTCCATCAGAGATTCCTGCCTCTAAACTAAAGCAAGAAAGATAGGATAGTTCTTTTCTGATCCACCATCTTGAAAGAGGCAGTGATCACTGGGCTGGGCTCCTCTCTTTAAAAGCAGGACCGTCTTTCTCATGAATCACTAAACAACAGAGATGAATGTGGGGCTGGCACCAAGCCATCTCATGAGACAGTTGATAAAGAGGGAAGCAGTAGGAGGGGAATCCCTTCTCTGAACTGACAGCATGAACAGCGCCTCATTTACATATTCTGTCTCTGGATCCCCATTCTTTACATCAAATGAAGTCTATTGTGATGTACAGAAGGGGCCCTTGAGCAGCAAGCACTTAAGTGACTCTTGCTCTTTCTCACACACATGGTCAAATACACAAAAGGCTCACACATGGACGTCATTCTGTGTAAAGCACATTATGAGCTTTCTGCCAAGATCCAGGTAAATACCAGCAACAGGGCCGAGTCCTTACCTAATGATCATGACCAGAGGAGGCAGGGGGGGGTTTTAACGGTGGGGTCGAAGTGCGAAAAACTCTACCCTCATGCTCAGAGATGAGATCTGAAGCATACGGCTGGCTTTACTATATTGTGTATTTCTTACTGTGAAGATATCTAAATAAAAAACAAAAGCAGACCTACTTGATGCTGTAAATCGCAGTATTTTAAAATAATTATTTTCTTCCCTTAACCTTTTCTGCTTTGAATCTCTGCCAAGCATATGTAGTTCATTTAGTGATGCACTCCTCAAAGATATTGCCACATACACACACAATAAATACTTGGACACACACACAGGGATCACATGCACATATCTGGAGGGTTGCACACCTGTGAGTGTCCATATGCACATGCACTCAAACACACATACACATTGATTGCCTGCAAGAGCACAAAACTCAGTGACCTAATCCATAATTTACACCTCCCTGCCAGGCTATTCTCTGCTCTGGCGCCAGGCAGGAACACCAGCTACTGGAACATTAGACAAGAAAGAACACCGTGTCCTTCTGCAATGCATGACTCTGACTGTACATGGACACACACGCACGCACGCACGCACGCACGCACACACACACACACACACACACACATACACATACACACACACCAACACATAAACATTTGAAGAATCAAATTCTGAGAGAACAACATTTGAAACATTTATAGTTTGTGGCCTTGATGCTTTAAAATATAAATAATTTGAATACTCATCTTCAGAGAGTCAAGGTGAGAAGATGGTATTGCTGCCTTTAGACATTACATTTACCTCATGCTAAAGACTCTCTTACTGCAAGAACGTGGACGCCTTAACATCACACTTAAGTGTGAATGTTGAACATCTCATTTCAAAGCCATAAGCAATTATATTCCACTTAACTTCTTGGAACATGGCTGCAGGGATTTGTTCTTATTCAGCAATAAGACCTTTCATCAGGCCTGTCAAGATCTTCCACACTCAAATCAAAGAGAACCGTGGGGTAATAGGCACGTGTGTGTTGCCTTAGAGTTCATTTTATACTGTAGAATAAATATTGTTTTATTTAAAACTAAGAGGCATTACCCAAACCATTAAGGACGGCCAAATCAATAATGTAATAACAGTGTCCATAGATTTTATTTAGTATTTATGGTGCCTGCATCAACATGCTTCCAACAATGCTGCCCTTTGCACGCAGGGCTGGTCTCTGTCTAATTACATGCTCACTTGGATATTCCCCAATTACATCTCATCAATCAAGCTTATATGAGGGATATACAATTGCAGAATAGTCGCCAAATTAAAACATTTTCTGATTGAGGACAACCAGACTCCATTGAATCATCCACTGACATCTGAAATTGTACCCGTGCCCTTGATCACAATGGCATGGGGGAGGGAGCCGATATCCAAACCAACATGTTAATGTTTTGGTAATTTTATGGTAATAATATGGTAATGTAGGAACACTAGTGGTCACTCTAAATTGTCAGTTATAGACAGGATTTTGTGGCCACAGGGTTTGACAATGACCTCTGAGCTTCTCCTCAGAAAACACCACACACACACACACACACACACACACACACACACACACACACACACAACACCACACCACACACACACACACACACACACACACACACACACACACACACACACACACACACACACACACACACACACACACACACACACACACACACACACACACACACACACACACACACACACACACACACACACACACACACACACACACACACACACACACACACACACACACACACACACACACACACACACACACACACCACACACACACACACCACACACACCACACACACACACACACACACACACACACACACACACACACACACACCCTGCTTGTATGATTTCTGATTGATCCCCAGCGTGTGTGTACATCACATACACTTTATGTTCACTTTCTGCACAGATTATATCTAATTTACAAAATATAAATGCCTAGGCTAACGGTAATACAAGGAGAAAAATCACAGTGTCTATTTCCAGCATCGTATTTCCCCAACGGTTTGATAGGGGCTGGGAAAGCAACTGGTGGCAAAAGAGACGGACTGATAATAGCGATAGAGATGTTGATGCTCATTATTGACCTATGTGGGAGCTCTTTCCTGGAAATTGCAACGAATGGATTAGGTCATGTGGGGATTTCAGAGAAACTGGCATGACACCTTTTTGTCACACGGATGCTTTAACCCTGGCAAACAAGGGGGGGATTCATGCAGAGACACCAAGGCTCTCTGTCCCCGTCTGTCCTTCTCATCTTCAAAGTGTTGTTATTCTGAATAACAAACATGTGGCGCAGTCATTCTCCCCATTTAAACGTCAAGGGGATAAACAAAGAATGACAATAATCTCAGTGCCATCCTATCATTTAGTTGGCAAAATGGACAGTCCACCTATTCTTTATATGAATAACAGAGTTATCCGTCCCCCTGTTCTTCCTTCATCCTTTCCTTTTCATTCATCCCATTAGATCTGCTAATCCCACATAAACACTGACTGGAATGCAGCTAATTGAAAGGCATTCTGGGTCACGTAGTTGTTCCCATCTCTTGAATGAACTCATGGTAATGAACCTGTTCCGGAAAACACATGAGATCACTGGAGCCATGTTTCAAGAGATAATGTCAGGCACATGAGGGTGAAGATCTGTAGTAACTTCTGAGGTTATACAACTTGCAGTTTATGAAACATCTTTGACAATACAAATCAGAAACAATATTTGAAGGATGATATAAGAAGGGAGTAATGTGATGGATCAGCAACTGAAAATCCCAGCAAGCAAGTGAACAAGCAACAATAAAAACTGCAGCTCTGCTTTGTTGAACAGACCTAATTGAAGTTTGAGTTTCTGTTAGCTTTAAAATCTATGTGCATCAGTGTCGGCATGTATGCTCATTTGAATGCTATTAGCATTTGTTAATCCGAGGACAGTTTCAAAGGAACAAGGATGCCTACTGTTCCCTGAAAGATGCATTTAGATGCATTTTACAAATGTCCGATAAAGCCCAGGTTCTCTGGTCATTTTGAACAAAAGCAATTTCTTGGACCAGAATGTTCCAAACTTTTTTTTTTTGCATTTCTTTCCACGGCATGTGCAACCTTGAAGATGTTCTTGTAAGATCACGTTGCTGCCTTAAGTGGAAAAATATTACAACAAACAAACTTGTATAAAAACTTTTGATGTGTTTAAGTAGATTCAAATACATAAAACCTACTTTATGCATTTTTAATCACCAGTTTAATCATCCACAAATCATATATACCTAATATTGCTTAGATGCTTTTGATACCAGCTACAATATATTCATAACTCAAATATTATTCAGTCATATGGATAGGCTTACTTATGATGTGCTCTTTCACAAGTACCACCTGTATCACTGAATATAGAGAGAGGTATATAGAGATATACAGACTTACAGATTCCATTCATTTATCATAATAAAGATGATCTCACTGAACAACAAACAATACTTATTGTCTCGAAGGAGAAGGAAATATTATAGTTTATTAGGTATATATTTTGGCAGTAATGATGATAAAGTGTACAGATGCAGACGTATAGCTAGCAACAAGAGCTGCAGTTTCCTTTAAGGAATGACTGATAAAAGGAAGAAAACAAGCAGTGCCACTGATTCTAGGATCAGACCTTCCCCCCCCTCTATAGGGCAGAAAGCTAATCTGATTCCAGAGCAGTGTTTAAAGGACAAAGAGCGCAGTAAATAATGGGAGCAGGTAAAAAATAAATTAAGTTCTGGAAAAGCAGTGGTTTTCAAGATGTTGCCTTCGATGGCCGGTATTTTCTGGAGTTGGTATGGTTGGATCAAACCACCCTCACATTTTTATCAAAACAGTGTTGTAATTTTCCAGCCATTAATATTGGTTGTTATTGGAATCGTTTGTTACGGCAATAAATTCCAGATGACCACATCTTCAGTTAAACTATACATTATTTAAAGCCACTCTACAGGAGGGTTGGTCATCTCCAGAAATAGACGTAGAGTGGAGGATTACTTTAAACAAACGTCTGAGGCTTTTTTCATTTTGTAAAAGAAAAACACTGCTCGTGAGGGTGGAGAGCAGCGAGGAATGAGATACACTCACCACATCCCTACATGTGAACCAGGCTTCCAGTGAAACCCCCTGCCCCCCCCCTCGCTGTTTTAGAGGGCAGCCCCCGCACCGAAGGGAGAAAAGTTGAGATGACCCCTCTGGAAGATAAAGGAGGGAGTGAGAGTAACAGCCTAGCTCATTAGAAACAACAGGAGAGAAGGAGAAAGGGAGTTATTTATATGCAACCAAACTTACTGAGAGACAACCTTAGACTTTTGGGTTAGCAGGAATGTTCTTAAGACTTTCTCTAAGTTTGTAAGAAGCAGTCTTAAACAGGTGAGTTCACCCCTACAGTTTGGTGGACCAGAGGATTGTGAAGTGGGAACACAACGTGCCTTCACATCTCTAGTGGCAGTACCTTATGAATGTGTCCTTAGTTTCTTTCAAAGTGGTACACTATGTGCCTGTGCTTCAATCATCACTCACAGTGACACTCAAACATTGAATGATGCCAATTGTGAAGAATCTGAATTGGTTTCAATGTGCTGATACTTTCAAGGACTAAAGCTGCGTACTTAAAAACACAATGCAGTGACAGAGACTATTGAGCACAGCATTTACATCACAGACGCTGGTATGCCAGAGCTTTCACTGTGTATGTAACCTGCATTATTATGATTTCCAGATGCCACTAATGCAGTGGTGGAACAGATGTGAGTAAAGTAAGTAAAGGCTAACACGGCAGACATGTGCAAATCAATTATTGTTATGACAGCCGCTGTCTTAAATGAATCAAATTTCCTGTTGGAGTCTGTGGGTTCACTGCTCAGCCTCTGGACATCATCTAAATAACTGCAGAGAAAGAAAGTGTGTGTGTTTGAGTATGTGTGTTTGTTATATCGAATGTAAACAGAATGTGGCTGCGTCACGATCCAGCCACATTAATAATAAAATGCTGATTTGCCTACATATTTCATGTTTAACAAGTATAAAAACATTAGCAGCTCATGTGGATGTGTAATGGAGGCTCCGTGGCTGTACATGAATATGACATCCTTTTGTTACTAACTATCAATCATTTTATATATGTTAGTGCAGCTGATCTAACAGTGTTCTTTTTATTGTCTGACGATGTTGTGATTATAAAAAAGGGTTTTATCTGCATTACAGCAGATTGAAAAGGAATTATGGTCAACTATTGATGAGAGAAGTTAGAAATCTGGTCTTTTCTCTCCCAGTGAATACTTCTCACATTGTAACAGTTCATCTTCAATGGTATAAAATGATCAAAAGGGACATTTAGAAGAAAATGTCAATCCAACAAAACAATTTGCCCACCAAGCTAATAAAGAAGGAAGAGTGTTATCAGTGTTGTTCAAATACTATTATTTTAACAACACTGTAGTAATTTTGAGAACACATTTTCCAGTCTTATGATTGATAACTAAGACAGAGCCTTATCACAATTCACAAATGTTATAAAATATGAATGTGGCCTTTCTTGACAAAATACAAATCCTATTTTGGAGTTGAGAAGGTACAGTATAATTACAGGAGAGCTTTTGTTGTGACTGAGTTGTTTGCTAGTCATGTGAGTGTGATTGAGCTGCTACACTCCTATATGTTTATATCTTTAAATCATCAAGGCATTTTAAAATACATGCAGCTATTGTTTTGTATTGTACGTTTTTTCAATCAACATGGTTTCCATTTGGTCAACTGCATTTTATCAATTGGATATCAGAGGCTGTGTGTGTATGTGCTTGCAGGACATTACATGTGATCCTGTAACCAAACACCTGTCTACAAAGCCACAGCAAGCTCACATGTCATGACTGATACATGTTGTTCAAAGGACGCCACTTTCCTCTCCATTTAAAATGTAAAGAAACCCACAACAAAATACAGGCCCAATATAGACATGTTGTCATGATCTGTGTGCTGCTCAGTGCCTGTCTTTGTGTGTTTACCTGAGTATGATGGCTGTCCATGTGTCTGTGTAGAGTGGAGCTTGAGGAGTTTGACTTGCTGTGACTCTCATCTTCCAGCGACCCTGAACACACAATGTCACAAGCATTGTTTAGCACAAACTGCAAGTCCTCCCACACACAGACACACACTGTGGTTGACAATCTCTCTGAGCGTTTATGGTTTATTGTAAACAGTCTTTGGCCAGAGCTAAGAAAAACGATAAATGATATCTTACAATACATTCTTTCTTATTTCTCAGGCCTCTTCATTGTGTCGCCCTCATTCTTTGAAACCCTTCCTACCGGCAAGCTTTTATTTCTGGCATGTTAAAGATAAGTTTAAGTGTTTAAGTGATTTAGTTGTGACATGGGCAAAGGGGTTAAAATAGAAATAGAGTTAATAGCCTGGTCCGGCCTGACAGATTCCTTTCTTCACTCCACAGGTCAGTGGTTTTAGCCTCAAAGGACTTTAAAGGACACTAAATATAGCAATAGCCTCTTTATTTAGGATCACAGGGCCTTTGGAGGACACTCCATTGAGCCTGACTTCCATCACTTTGTTGTACGCTCTGCAGACCTACACACCAATATAAAACTCACATCTCTTAGTAAAACATTTAACACATATTCAAACTGCACTTTAGGAATTTTTTTCTAACTCCACAGGTTGAGTTCATTTATTTATTTTTGCTGTAGTATGTATCATCAGTTTCAGCCTTAAATAAAAAATGGATTTGATTGGAAATTATCTGTAAAAATGTGAAATACTCGGGCTGTTACCGTTGGAAATCTGGTTGCCGTTCTCCACGGGGGCGGAGCTTTGGGAGTGAGGATGTGTGTGGTTGTTGGCGTTCTTGTCCTGTAGCTGCACAGACGGCAGGTTGATATTAGAATTGAATCCTGTGAAGAATGAAGCCAGAGGAAAACACACTAGCTGTCAGTGCATGTCATAAACAGTCGATACAGAAAATATTAAAACTGGTAATATGGCATAACTGTCTAATTGTGCTACTTTAAAATGTGGCTCATCATGTGTTGACTTCCCAAATCCTCTATTTCCTGAGTCCCACCCCTCCTAACCCTTTAAGCCTTAAAAAAGTATCCACATTCTGTGTCTGGTCGAAGGTGACTCCACATGACCTGACTCTGCCCTGCTGCTGCTCCTCAGGGCTCACATGCTCTCACACACTGATTCAGTAAGTGACTGTGGGTACAAATGTGCATGAGAGTGTGAATGGGAATTTGTCAGCTGCCGTCCCACACGAGAATGTGTGCCTCCCTGCCCCCCCCCCCCCCATGGTCACAAGATGCCTAAATATAAAGTTAGCATACGGCAGGTGTGTGTTTCTGACGGACACAAGGCCAGGTAGAGGGAGGGATTTTAATCTGATAGTTGTCCGCTTGTGAAGAGTCACAGTGAGTATTTTGATTTGTACAATAAAGACTATAATTAGGGAGAATTAGACTTTAATCCAATTTTAGGAAATATGTATGTTGCCGTTGAGGCATGAGGTGTCTTATGACAGGGCTTTCCTGAATGCCAAGACCACCTGCCCTCTTCCCCTGGCATTCCTGTGGTTTTTTTCATTCCCTGAGGATGAGGAAGGGGAGGAGGAGGAGGGAGGCAGCTGCTCTTCACAGAGATGTCTGGGATGGCAACTGAAACCCGCGGCCACTCCCACAGCGTCAGGTATCACACTCAGTCAGCCGAAAGGGAGCGGAAGCAGGCCATCCTGTTAAGCCCCTCGGTATCCCTCTGCACTCTGATCTAAGCAGACCGCCTTGCTTTGCCCACTCGAAATAACAGCAAGGTTGTGAACCCCAGTGCCAAGTTCCCCTGTCGCACACACTGTTTCCATGACGCCAGTGCTTTTCCCGCGCGGGTTCAGGTGCTGACGATGAGTCAAGCGCAGGATGTCAAGTGAGGCATATGGGTCAGCCTGCGCACTGCTCTCATTCCATCTCTTATAAGGACTTCAGCTATCTACCCCTTGAACTTGTAACATTATTAGACACAGTACTTCACAGGATTGTCTCACTGTGGTGGTCGGAGCTCGGACCATAGAAGGGTCCGGGGAAGCACTTTCCCAGAAGAAAAATGTGTACATTTTAAAGTTAAACACTTTTTCGGTTTATTATGAAACTGTTGCGGACCTAGGTAATTCATGGGAAACACTCATAGACCTATGACATAACTGTGTCTTATATAATTCAAGCGCAACAATAACATGAGCCTCTGATTATTGACAGCGAGAGATAATCCTTTCACTTGATTGTCATTTTTCTAACTGTTCAGGGTGTCTTGTTTGCTTCTGCTGCTGGGCAGTCACACTGGCTTCAGGAGAACATGAATGAGCTGTTAAATATTTATACCCATCCTCATCACTCTACTGCTCATGTATTATTAACCTAGCCACAACTAATACACTTGGAGGAAACAGAGACTCCGATAAAAACACAGAGGGACAACACAGTTTGTAACTGCTCTCATTTTCCTGTCCTTTCTCCAGCTTAGGTATAAAAAGAAAATTCACTTTCATAGGAGGGCCAACAAAGTAATCTCTTTGTGGGGTGGTAACCTCTGACCTGAGGACCTTCCCCTTTTCATTGACAAAGTGGAACAAATATGTTTATCCTCTTTTTGCAAAGGTCAACCGTTGCATCAGTGTCACAGAGACTGAATGTGCTCTGCATGTGGAGCACTGAGCTACAACACACACCAACACAGTAGATCCTACTTACTGTGCAGTGCAGTATGATGCTAAATGGGCTACAGGAGCGGGCTCATTAGGTAACATGGAAGGAGGCAGCTGCACTGGAGACTGTAACAAATGGGCCTCCTCAAGTAGGCCAACGAGGGTGTCTAGCTAACCCTGAATCAATGTAAGGACTTTCTAAATGTAGAAAAGGGGCATTTATGAGAAAGGCTGTTGGGTGATAGTCCATCTGACCGCCCTACCACTCAAACACAGCCTACATGTATGAGTCCGCATTCACACAGGCGCAGAGAGCGACACAAAAACAGCGGGGGGGGGGGGGGGGTTATTACTTACCTGCAACCCTGCACAACTACTGCTGTACAGAAGGTAATCACCCAGTGAACAATAAATCATGTGTCACAGAGCAGCCTGAGACTTTGATCATGAACTCATCACAGATTACAAAATGGACACGTGCACGCACGCACGCAGTGGTGTTCAAACAGTATCTGGGCTTGGCAGTATATCTAAACTGATATTGTGATATGACACCAGATATTGTCTTACATTTATGGTAACATCCCACAATTGTCTTTGGCTGGTTTTGAAGGCTGCATGACAGTAAATGGATATCATTTTCTGAACTAACCGGACTGTTTTAATAGTTATAATATTTGCCATGACACAGTTTCATTATATCCACATAATTGATGAATTTATATTAAAATAAATTCAATGTTGTAAATATTCTATGTAAAAAACAATAGTCAACCCTACAATGTTTTCTCCATGTCGATATCAAGGTATTTGATCAGAAATATTTGGATATTTGATTTTCTCCATATAATCCAACCTTACTGTGATCCCCTTTCTGCTGTGTTTTAATTGTCTGTAACTGTGTGTGTGTGTGTGTGTGTGTGTGTGTGTGTGTGTGTGTGTGTGTGTGTGTGTGTGTGTGTGTGTGTGTGTGTGTGCAGATGTGTGAGAAACAGACCTCCATCTCTGGTCTTTCGGCCGGAGCTGGGCTTCCTCAGCAGGCTGCGTCCCGAGCTGAACAGAGTGTTGAGCTCATCCAGGGGGCTGGTCAGGGGTCTGCCATTGGCTGGGTTGAACAGCAGGGGCGAGGAGGAGCACGAGTGTGCCCTCCGAGGCTCAGGTCGGGTCATCTTCACTGGGGAATAGGGAGGGGGCTTCCCCAGGGGTTCCCCAATTGCCCTTTGAGCGCATGAGGTTTTGGGAGGGTCTGAGCTTCCTGTGACACATCTGGTAATACCTTGGAAGTTGGTCTCAGGTGGGGGGAAGGGGAAGTGTGACGGTGGTCTGTAAGGGGGAGGCAGGGCGTTGGGGGGAGGAGGTGGAGGTGGAGGGGTGAGTGGAGTGGTGGGCTTCTTCTCTGGCATGAGGACGGTGAGGCTAGGGGAGGAGTCGGCCCTCTGGCGGGCGTACTGAGGGGACAGGGGGCTGTCTGGGCCGGTAGCATAGTTCAGGTTGGTCTCAAACACGGGCAGCTTCTTCACCTCTAGAGGGGTGAGGGGGGGACTCATCTGAAGCAGGAGAGCAGGGTGACGGGGGAGGGGGGAAACACCAGGAGAAGGTGGACGGTGGGGGGAGCAAGTTGGGGAAGGGGGCAGGGGATGTCGCAGCTGCCGTCTTTGCCGCTGTTGGCAGTGCTCTGTGAGTGAGTGAGGTCCATGGCAGCCGTCAACCCTGCCGCCATCCGTTTGATCTCCCCGCTATGAGGGGGAGACGCACACAATCCCACCAGGTTCAAGCCTAGGGCCTCCAGTTTGGCCGCCTTGCTTACCACGGTGGCAGGACCATCTTCATGAGGGAAATACTTCATCTCCTCGTAAACGGCCTCCGAGTCATCCAGCTCCGGGCTGTCAGGAGGCTCCTGGAGGCTCCGGGCCCGCTGCTTGGAGCCCAACATCTCTATGTACACGTCCTCTTCGCCCTGGCCACGGTACAGGCTCAGTCCAAGCCCTTGTGGGACATCTACAGATGCTGCTTTCTGCAATAAACCACCAAACCCACAGAAACCGCCAGCCCGGGACAGCAAGGCCAGCTTCACCTCAGCAGGACGGAACTGGTGGATGTGTGGAGATGCAGCGTTGATATCCTCATATGAGCCTGACAGCTTGGTGTTGGGACTGCGTTTAGGTTTCGGGGGTGGCACCTTCCTCATGGTTGTGTAGTCATCACTGTGGGGACGGGGCTTGGACAAGGCTGGGGAAATTATAAAGAAAGCAAATAAATACAAAGAAAGTCAGACATTAGCCATCTGAATTAAAGGTCCCCTATTATGTGTGTTAAGAGATTCGGAAAGATTCAGGAAATAAGATTCTCTCTCTTTTTGTCCTGATCCATTTATATAAAAACCTGTCTGAAAATGAGCTGATCAGATTTTGGCCACTTTGTGATGTCACAATGTCTTTTTGGGTTTGGCAACCATTAGCCAATAATCAACCAAGGTAACACCTGCCCACCTTATCACCTGAATATCCTCCTAAACCACCATTAGCCGCTTTCACACCAAGTACTTTGCCATACTTAGTGCCGGCACTTAGTGCCCCGGCACTTATTACCCCAGGGCACTAAGTACCAATCGCGTTCACACCGGAGTACTTTTCCCTGAGGGAAGATTACGCAAATGAGCCGCTGACGTAACTTCGTCTTCTTCTGCTTTGGGTTTACTGGCAGGCCGCAAACAACTTCACGGCGTATACTGCCACCCGAAGTCCCCGGAGTTGGGGACTGGCTTCAGTAGAAGCTGCTGGGACTCCCAGCAGCTTCTACTGAAGCCTTCCGAGTAAATTGCCAGAACGCCGACACCTCCTCATCTCCACGGCTCCCATGTTTTCTTTTGTGTTGCCATAAGTTAGTCTCTCTGCGTTTCTGCGCTGGGCTAATGCTAATGCTAATGCGAGGATAATAAAATGGCGGCTTCACAAAACTTTTTTTGAGTTTTACGGGGCGTGGTTTGCAATTCGCCCAGCCAATGGAAATTGGTACTTTTTTGGTACTTTTTTGGTACCACCTCTCTAGCAGGCACTGAAAATGGGGGTAAAAGTTCCCGGCACTAAGTACTCTTTTTGGTGTGAACGCGACGTCAGGGGTACTAACGGAACTAAACGGGAAAAGTACGGGGTAAAAGTACTCCGGTGTGAATGCGCCTATTGTGTTTTTTTAAAACAAAAACTTCCCAGAGGGGGGTGGGGGGGTGACCCTTCAATTGCATTTAAAAGCTACAGTCACAGATTCAGCACTTTTGAAACACTTCAGAGACATGTTTTATGGGCCATTCTACCGAATTGGACCAAAGTCAGGTTGGAAATGTTTTGAAATGTAGTTTTTTTCCCAAAACTTTGTCCATATATATTTTGTACCATATCTAAATTACAAATATCTAGTAAAAGAACCGTACATTTTTATATTGTATTTCCAGACTGTATTGGAATGTTCTTCCTCTACCAAAAATGGTCACTACCGAAACATAGTACATACACTGTAGTAAAAAAGTATTATATTAACCTGTTCAGATTGTTTTACCTTCCCTTCTCTAAATAGTATTTTAACAAATATCTATTGAGGGTTTTCACAATTAAATTAATAAAAGTGCATTTTTTATCAAATTTCAAAGTTCAATTTATACAATTCATAAAAATCATAATGCAAACTTTCTTTGTAAAATGCATAATACTGATCATATTGATTCCAGAGTTAATGATTGTTGAAATTGAACATACATTAAACCAATCAGTATCATATCATTTTAGTTGATAACTCAATATACTTCATTTTTTACAAAACATCCAGTGTTTCGGTAGTGACCACAGTATCTTGCTCTCAAGGTTGTATCATATTCCCTCAACCTTATTGCTTAATCTTAACTCATAACATGCCTTATGTTGAAGTGTGAATGTTTGAAGCTACTGACCCAGAATCAGCACTTTAGTAACAGGCTGAAATAGAGGGGAATGAGGCTAGAATGGGTGATCTGTTTGATATTTTGAGCAAAACACTTCATAGAGATGTTTTTTATATATCTGATACCTATAATATATGCCTAAAAATAGTATAATAAGAGACCTTTAAAGTAACACACTGATTTTCAGACTTTAAAACTGATTTATTTCAAAATGGTGGGATTTACCTGCTTACCATTCCATTTTGTCACTACCGAAACGATCATGTCAATTACCGAAACGTAACCATATGTTTCGGTAGTGACGATTCTAGCTAAGTTTGAGCATAACTTGAATGCTAGCAAGTACATGGCTAGCATACACGTCTTTGAAGAGGTTTACACACATAAAAACCTAATACTTTGCATACTGTAAAACCCCGACAAAGTTGACTTAATTGAAGATAATATGTGTTCGGTAGTGACAATTCTTAAGGTTACAAGCCGATTTTCAGATTTTGGAACAGATTTATATCAAAAGTATGGGATATAGCTACTTGCCATTCAGCCATGAGGGACAGGGGTGCAGTGTCACTGCCTTGTCAAAAATGCAGGGGTGTTGCTAAAAACCAGGCTCAGCCATTGGACTAAAACCCCTTGTGTTTCGGTAGTGACATGAAAACTGGGGACATGATTTTTTGAGAATAGTTTTTTTATTAAGAAATGATACCCACAATAAATCTAAATATTCCAACTTCTGTTTGAATGTACTCAAAGATCTTCTAAATACACCATTGAACAACATTTAAAAAAATGTTTTAAGAGTTATTTACAGAAATTGAAATTTAGATGTCAGGGTTGGGGACAGCTACTTCCCAATAGAAAGTATACCCTATAAATGATGTTTTTGTATATATTAAGCTTATCACTATCTAATTTAATGCCTTATGTTTAAATAGACCATAACATATTCTTAGTAAATATCTATGTCTGAATACTTAATTGTTTTGTTAAATAGTTTTTATTGCTTTGTACTAATTCGGTAGAATGCCCCTCTGAGACCTATACTTTATTGTTGAAAAAGTATAACAGGGGACCTTTAAGGGACAGAAAGGACCATCTGTTGCATCTTCTAAAGACGAGTAGAGGTGATTTACCTGATGGGTCTGTGGGGGACAGCTGGGATTTAGGAGGGCTTCCAGCTGGGGAACCATATCCCTCAGGAGTGGGACTCTCTTTGGCTGACATCGTCAACCCTGCACTAACTGCTTCATAAGATGCACTCAGGCGGGTGTTGGGGTCCCTCTTTGGTTTGGGCGGAGGTTGCTTGCGAGGGGAGGAGAGACCCCCCCTGCCTGCCCCATCCTCGTTGGTATGAGCCACCTGCTGCAGGGCTGGTTTGATGGGTGGACTCGCTGTGGAAGGGAACATGTTCTCCATGGCGAGAGGGATGGGTACTGAGCTAGACCGAAAGTGGCGAATAACTCGACCGCCCCCATTGACAGGACCATCGTAGACTTTCCCACTTTTCTCCACAACCCTACAAAAGGAACAGATACCAGAAATACATTAAAGGTCACATATTATGCAAAATCCACTTTTTCATGTCTTTTTTACTTTAACATGTGTCCCCTCAGTGTAAAGAGATTCTGAAAGTTTCAGGAAAAAAGATTCGCTCACTTTTTGTCCTGATCCATTTAGATAAAAACCTGTCTGAAAATGAGCTGATCAGATTTTGGCCACTTTATGATGTCATAACGATTTTTTGGCTTGTGTAACCATTAGTCAATCACCAACCAAGGTAACCCCCCCCCCCCACCTTATCACCTGAATCTCCTCCTAGAGCACCATTAGGCGCTTTCACACCAAGTACTTTGCCGTACTTAGTTCATCAGAACTCTTTAGTTCTGATGAACCCCGGCCGGAAATCCCCGGAGTTGGGGACTGGCTAGTCCCAGCAGCTTCTACTGAAGCCTTCCGAGTAAATCACCAGAACGCCGACACCTCCTCATCACTCCACCGCTCCCATGTTTTATTTTGTGTTGCCATAAGTTAGTCTCTCTGCGTTTGTGCGCTGGACTAATGCTAATGCTAATAATGCTAATGCGAGGATAATAAAATGGCGGCTTCACAAAACCTTTTGGGAGTTTTACGGGGCATGGTTTGCATTCCGCCCAGCCAATCAGAAATGGGAACCTTTTTCTCCCATGAAAGTATCTGCTCTCTAGCAGTGACTGAAAAGGGGGTGAAACGGTTCTCATGAACTAAGTTCTAGTTCCGGATTTCTTTGGTGTGAACGCACATTTTCGGAACTATATCGGAACTATACTGGGAAAAGTACTCCGGTGTGAAAGCGCCTTTTGTGTTATTTTTAACCAAATATCTCTCATGCGGCTTTCACACCAGCGCTTTTCCCTTTCTAGCTCCTAGCGAGAGCTTTTCTGGTTCAGCTCCGGTTTCCCTTTTCAGCTCCCGCTCTGTTCACACCGCCCAGAGCTGCCGAGAGATTTTCTCCCACAACAACAACGGGCCGGGGACTGCGTCGGGTCGACGATCGTGTTGCTTTTAATCATACGAAGCCAGATTAAATTAAATAACGACTTCTCCAACCTTATACTTTTCTCCAGAGTGCCGTGGTTCATTGTTTATTAATGTGTTTCAGCGGCATTTACCGACCGCTGCAGTGCTGGCTGCTCTTCAACGGGAGTTTATTCTCCCGTTAGCTCACACGGCTCTAAAGTATTCACTGTCTGACTGTCACACAAGCAGCTGATACATATCCCCAGTTCCCCTTAAGTGAATGTGTGTCAGTCTGAATTGACGCTGTTTGGCATCACAACGCTGTTATGAAAGTTTCTCTGGTATAACATGGGTGATGTTAGCATAGCAACCGAAGCTAAACTGACTACTTGCTAAGCCGTTTTCTACAGGCACATTTTACCGGCGTATTTTTCATTATGATTCTACTTGTGATAGTCGGACATGACAACCTGTACAGCCCATGTATTAATTCCATCCGATAGCTGCTATAATAACAAAACGTCTGCCTGCTCTCCACAATGATCAATAACAGCGAACGGATGGTCAAAGTAAGGTTTCCTGCACGCCTCGACGTAAGCGACGCCGCGTCATAGCTCCAAAGCTCTTGCCTCTGGACCGACAACTTTTTGGAGCTGGAAGTGAACCGCATTCCGGAGCTATGACGCGCCGCCGCTGCGGTGTGAACAGGAAAAACCGGCGCTTTTCAGGCTCTAGCTCCCAGCAGGAGCTGGAAAAGCGCCGGTGTGAAAGGGGCATCAGAGGGGCGTGGGGAGTGGCTCCTTATTTTCATCTAAAGTAAAAGACACAGAATCAGCACTTTTGAAACAGGGCTGAAACAGAGGGGTTTATGGGATGCTGCAATGAATGATCTGATGAGCCAAACACTTTAGAGACATGTTTTGTATATATCTGAGACCTATAATATATTGATGAAAAACAGTATAATAGGGGACCTTTAAAAAAATTAATTCTGGCCATTAATCTCCATTACTATTGCATTTGCATGCTTTAACAAAATAACAAACACGCCTTGGCTTCAGGCACTACCCTTTTCCACTCCAATAATTTTCTGATCCGATTGAGGTAATGATATCATTTAGATCATCAGAATGCTCAACCTTAATGTATGCCTGCTTCAGCTGTCATTCCACAAATATGAGCTAAGGAGGCCAATTGAAGGATAAGGACCAAAGAGATTATGCTTTAAATCTAATCTCCTTGCAGTAATTTGATAACATCCTGTTAGATATTTCCCTTGCTAATCTGTGTGAGCCATCTGTTGGTTGCAGAATCGCAGGCGGGGGTTAGCCGGGCATATGGGCAGGTGATGTGGAAAGGCATTAAAAAACCTGCAGAGAAATTAGGTGAGTTTGGGTGAATTTGAATCCCCTCTACGATACAACAACTGTGACTCTCTCCCAGTCCGCCCACAGACACCCCTCCTCCTGCTGGGCGTCTGTCTGAGTAGCAGATGTTACATGGACAAGGACACATAGAGGACGCAGAATCATGTGTGTTTATGTCTCATTTCATCTTTCAGGATATAATTCCTTCCATAAATTAATCAAAACACGTTAAAAAATGTCAGTACATTGCAGTGCGGTGACATTTTCTAATTGATTTTTAATCGTTTCCAATTGCTCATTGATTAAATACAGTGGAAAAGACTCACTATAGGTTATTAGTTTGACAGGCTTAATATAAATATTGGTTTGTCTAAGATGATGTTTAGAAGCAAACATCCTATATGTGTTTATATTGTTATAATATAATAAACATATATTTAGTCAGAAAGCTTTCAGACTTTAGCATTTTGTTAACAAATCATTGTCAGGTGGAGATAGAAAAATCAGTATCATGGGACAATGGCAGTAATCAACACACATGGTAATGCTTCCTGCTAAAAGATTATATTAAAAATAATAAATGCATATATAATGCAGCGTACCATAGAAAGCATAAAATTACTAAAATTACTAAAATTCCAAAGTCACATTTGAGGTATTACCAAAACCCATGTTTAACCCTTTCGTAGCCCTGCAGGATTATTCCAATGTAATGATATGTTGTATTAGCATGCGGAGAGGTTGACATAAGGATAGCCTTCCATTGGTGCAACACTTTACTAATACAATCTGACAAACGCAGATCATTCTCTGACTATTCATCATGAAATTAACAATTAAAAGCTTTCACTGCACAGGGATACAATGACACGCATGCAGAAACACACATACACACTTATGGAGGCCAATGATTGCTTTTTACAATCAAAAATCCTGTACATTTCAGTAACTACACATTGATGACCTTTCAGGTTAAATACAGTCACTGTAAAACCGTCTCATTTGGTTTTATGCTACTGTATATTGTTTGTAAATGCAAAATGACTGACTGCACATTGACATATTCCAATCGGACTAAAGGTGTGTTAGTTTCGAGGCTGTTTGCTAATATACCTCTTCATGGGCTGATCCTCCTCCTTGCCCACTGGCTCAGGCCTCTCACCAAGTGGTGGGCTGTTGCCAAGGATGTTGATAAGGCTGTTGCCATGGCAGCGCAGGCGGTCGCTCTCTCTTGAGATGTCGGAAGCATTTTGGATGACCAAGTGGTCATAGGTTCGCATCCCTATGTCTTCTGCCCCCTGCAGGAAGCGCTGCACACCGCCCTCCTCTTTCTGCTGTGAGGACAGCCTGCGATGAACGCTCTGTCTGGCCAGCCAGCCACGCACCACTGAGACACGAGGAAGAGGAAGAGAGGAAGAGGAAGAGGGGAGAGGAAGACAGAGATGTCAGAGGTGTCAGTAAAAGAAAGACAGCTGAACACTCAAGTAATAACAAGTGTTTTGGATATTACCTTTCTGACAGGTGATGATCTTTTTATGAAGCTGGTAGCAGCGGTCGTTCAGCTGGTCGGCCTGCCAGTACCTCAGAAACACTTTGCTGCTGCCCATCTACACACACAACAACACAAATCATAGTTGTAAACTACAGTGGTATCATCGCCAGCTTCTGTGAGTCTGGCTGTCAGGAAATCTCAGAAGAGAGTGCCTTGTTAGTTGAGAGATGGCAGAGCAGTGATGTAGCAGTGATGCATGATAATAGGTGGGTGTGGAGTGTGGGCAGGGTATGGAGTTTGCATGTTGACACGGCATTCACTTCCTGGATTAGAGGGCATTTGGGGGGTGGCAGAGGTCACCCTATAACAGGTGCACAGCACTGAGGGGGTGACATGCTTCCACACACACCATTCATTTCAACACACGCTACTTGTAGGAGTGGTGCTTGTGCGAGTGTGTTGAGCAGAGCTGGATGAAAAGGTGTCTGCAAGGCATTGTGGAGGAGTTTGTATGCGTGTGTGAGGCTGGAGCTGCTGTGACCTGTAGGGTCACACACTCAGACACAACAGCAGTCTGGCAGACAGGACAGAGAGGGGGGCGGACGGGTCCATGCTGCCGTGTGACTGAGGGTGTGTGAGGAGAATGATGATGAGGCGGGACAGCTGGAACGAGTTGTCAAAAATTCCATGGGATTTTTCAAATAGAGGGTCAGGGATTAAGTCATTTGGCAAATCTTTTGTTATTGATGGGGACAGAAAAAGAGGCAAAACACACACACACACCTGCCATCCCTGGAGTTTGGACTGTTGCAGAACGGAGCGACATCTCTCTTCAGGGGACAATTTCTTCTTGTCTCCCAAAGTCGGGACCACAAGATCTTTATATCTGAGACACAAAGAGATAACAACAGAGATATTAAAGCTGAAGAGCGAAACTTAAACATTTGACGCTGATGCATCTTTTCTCAGAAACAATGGGTTCAAAGTTCAGTGGGGGTCATACGGCAGACCAGCCACACAGCATCTGTTCCTATTGGTGTTGCCGCGGGCAACGGTTGCTATGAATGGTCAGCTGGAGACAGTGGTTTGTTTGTGCCTGGGACGGTGGGGGTGAAAGGGAAAGTGAGCAGAAATGTTTACAAAGAATCCAATAACAGAAAATATACTGCTCTTTATATTGGCATACAGAAGCTGGGTTATGAAATGAATTCCCAATTGTACCAGATACAAAAACTCTGAGTGGTATAATAATATATTGTGCTTTTCATTAGCAGAAACTTTTTTGAGCCACCTGCTCAAGGACGACGCATCAGCAACACAGTGCGATAAGCATATACAAAATTGTACAGAAGAAAAAAGAACGTAGTCAAAATGATACTTAGTTCATCTTAGATCATAGTTATATGCACAAGAACATGACAATGATTAAATACAAAAAATAAATACTAAAGTTGACAGGAGACACATTTTCTTATTTTTAAGACTATAGGTTGAGAATTGGCCCCTGTCTAATAAGGGTCCAGGAAATGTAGGTAAATGAATTTGTTAATGTAACATTTGAAAGACTTCAGTATTACTGTAAAGTTTTACAAATCTCAAATGTACTTGTTAAACTGTGATGATGTTCGTGATATAAAAAAAAAGAACCTGACATGGGCAACACAAGAAGATTATTAGGCAGTCCCACATTTTCAATCCTATCTTTTTTTTCTTTGTCACACCTCATTATAACAAGAGCAAATTGTATAACCTATTTGACATCAAGGGAAATGTATATTTTCTGAATGAAATACACAAAACAGTTAAACTTCATATCAGTTGGATAGTCAGCATTTGGTCTCTTCTGTTATCAACAAGACACAGAGCCCGCTGAAGACGTGACATCCCGATGACGAAATATAACAAGCAGATGGCTGGAGGCAGTAACCACTTGTGTTGTCAATAGTGAGTAAGTAAGTGCACGTGAATGTTGGATGTGTTTGATTTGCAGGAGTGGGTTCTGTCTGAACTCTGCCTAACCCTCTCTCTGTATGTTAATACCAGTCCTGCAGACAGCAAACGCCATCCCACTGGGCCCATAAAACACAAAGAAACTCTGTAAACCCATGACCTTCCCTGTGAGGATATGAAAACCATCGATGGACCCTGCTTTTACAAGACCCAAGGGGGCTTCATGTGGAGTCAAAGAAGTGAAATAAAGCCTTTGATAAGAGTTTAAATGGAGGGCTACAGTGCAACCAACGCTGTTCCATGTGACAACAGGCCATCAGATCCCTGTTAGTGAGCGTCACAAAGATGCTTAAGGTAATGCAGCTGGATTTTGAACCACTCCCTTCCTATCTGAAGCTGCTCCTATCCATCACACACCTATTTCAGTTGCCACATTCTCAAATCCTTTTGGCTTTGCCTAGTCCTTGATATTCATCCCACTAGTCACTCTGAAATGATGGATATTCTGCTCTAGGTAACTTAATAACCTACAAATGTGTGTCTTTATCCATCAGTGGGAGGTAATGAGGACCCACTTGGAACTGGCCATATAGAAAACATGACCTATGTGCTTGTGTGCTGCATTTGTGACATGCTGTATGAATACAGATGGTCTCTCTCATCCACTCTGTTGCAATGAAGAACTGAGGAAAGAAACAAGGTTCAAGCGGTAGGATTTGACCTTACACATTGGCGGAAAATAAATCTGGCCATAAAACACATTGTGTATCATAAAAGACAAATAAAAGCTACAGTAAAATAGATTTCCTCATAAATCATCCGGGTTACCAGGACAATAATGTAATTTGCTTCAGGCAGCCACTATGACTTAGTGAAATGGCCTGCGTGCTTCCAGTGTGCGAGTGTGTGTTTGTGTTCACGAGAATATAGCAACCTCAAGATTATTGGTTGATTTATTGTCCTGTCATTTTGATTAGTCAAGGGCCAGGGTTGTTTTGAAAGAGTGACAAATAGAAAGAGGAAAAAATGCGATAGTGTGCGTGTACATGAGAGAAAACAGGCAGAGGAGAAAAGGAAAGATAAAGACTGAAATAAAGAGAGTGAAAGGACTAAAGAAATAAAAAAGATCTCGGGGTCAGGAAGAAATAAAAGGCAAGGAGATGAAAGAAAAAAAGGCAGTTTAGAGAAGAGAGAGCATGTGAGGAAAGGATAAGAATTTGTTGTGAGAACGAGCTTTGTGAAGACGGCAGTGTAGTCCACCCACCTCTGCAGGGGAAGCTCCTCTCCTGGCCAAGACTGTGGTTCATTCCATTGGCCCATATCGTGTTTGAACCAGTGGAGGGGAGAGAGAGAGGGAGAGAGAGAGAGAGAGAGAGAGGAGAGAGAGAGAGAGAGAGAGAGAGAGGAGAGAGAGAGAAGAGAGAGAGAGAGAGAGAGAGAGAGAAGAGAGAGAGAGAGGAGAGAGAGAGAGAGAGAGAGAGAGAGGAGAGAGAGAGAGAGAGAGAGAGAGAGAAAAAGAAAGAAAGAGAAATATGAATGGCACTTTGGCCAGGCTGACTGGTGTCTTTGTGAGTGGCAGCCACTCAAATTAAGCATGGACTTAATGTATAAACAGCAGAACAGGGACACACGTCAGACAAAGGCACACTCAAAAAGGTCCATTTGTATGAACACAAAACACTCGTACGCAATGCACACAAACCAGAGCTGGGCAGTTGTGCAATGCTGAATGAAGAATAATGGGGATTTGAATGAGTGGCAATACAATTGAAATCCAGTTTTCAAACTTCAGTTTCTACTAAAAATGTGATGCTTCAACATTTTTGGGATTCAATGTATTTTATCCAGTAGGTGAAAATGGTTTCAGTATCATAACATTTACAATTAGTATCAAGTAATAAGTAATTCATGAGCAAACATTGTTTAAGTACATTTCCTGGCAAACATCGGGCCAATATAACTCGTCCACCAGGACAAACTGGACCACTGCAGGGAAGCCTGGAAGCAGTTTCAGACACTAGAAGAAACATCCTGTGCTGTGGCTGATTGAAACAGCTACAGAACTCCCTGAGCCCTGGAAGCTAAGCCATGTAAGTGTTTAAATGATCGATGATGTCCTTACTCACCAGGCCATCCCCGGCCAGGCTGGGCCACCACATTATAAGAGCAGTGAGCATCTGCTTGCCACACTCTCTTTGATCTTGCATCAGATCTACAATATATAAATCATCCAGTTACAGATCAAAAGATAGCAAAGAAGCTGTATTATTTACAACAACAGAGCAATACAGTTGATAAGTACACTCTGTGAATTGAGTGCTGCCTTCTTTTACCATCATGGCAGAAAACAGATATATTCACTATTTTACCCTTACACACTGTTCTTCTCTCCTTCCTCAGTGTTCGCTTAGATGTAAAAAAAGCATATGGAGATTCACATACCGTTTTCTGTCTATAGGAAGGTTATAGAGAGTTAGTCTTGACTAGCATCCAGTAAAAGATCAGAGCTGACAATGATTTAGAGTTTCCTCGTTTGCCGCCCCCCCCCCCCTTGTCTCGCATTTGATGGTGTCCCCTAAGATCCCTCGAGGGAATCACATGCACCCGTCCCGTGCGCAATATTGCTTTCATGGATTCAAGGTGGCAGGTGACCAGTTTGACAATTTCCATGAGATGACATGTGGGGATTTCCTTTCAGCTGAGAAAAGATCATTGTCCGTTCTCTTGATGGCTGTCTGCTGATCTTGACTTTTCCTTGAGTCTTGATGAAACCGTGTCCCGCTCTGCACAATCCCCAAATTGACTGGACAGATGGTAAATTGGAGAAATGGAGGACTGTGTGTCAACCAAGCTGCCACAGGTCTTCACCTGAGACTATTAATAGTGTTCGTGGCTCAATCACACCTTGTCAACCTGTCTAACGTTACATATAACAACCTGCAGGAAGTGTTTGGCAAAAAAGAGAGCAACCACCCAACCATCACACACACTGTTTGACAATCTCCACTCTGGTGCTTGTCTGTCTCTTCTCCCTCTCGACTCCAGAAAATAGCCATGTTTCCGTTCAAATGCATTGAATATTGTAACAGAATTCAAAGAGAAATACAATTAAACAAACGCTTCTTTCCATTGGGATAACAAGGAATGGAGACATTATAATACCATTAGAAAAAAGAGGAGGCAACAAGATTAGTTTAATGTCAGCATGCTGCCTCGACTGGGTGAACTCAGGTGAACTCCTTGTAGCCTACACTTTTTCCTGCATTTCCAACACACTGCACTCTTTTAAACGGTTTATACCTGAAGTGGATATTTCAGATGTTGTTATTGGAGCTGTCATGTCTCCCTGCTCTTCCACTTAGTTCCCCCCATGCTTGATGTAGACAAACAACTTCTAAGTTCACAATGTACAAGAACAATCTGAGGACCAGCCTGCACTCAAAGAGTTGCCTGATTATAATATTACGATCAAAATAACCTCCTCATAATTAACAGAAAATACACACTTTGGTGTATACCCTTTCCAGCGACGGTTAAGTTTGCACTTTCTAGTGACCAGCTGGTCCTTGTGATGCTCAGTTATCTGCTGGTCCCACACATGGCCAGGAGATTATCATACAACATAGGGCTGCCTAAACTTATATAGTATGACACTTACTACCATACTCACTCAAGCTCAGACACACACAACACACAACACACACACGCGCAGCTTAACTAACAGCTTTCACAAAACCCTCAGCAGGACTCTTTCAATTACAGCTTGAACAATGAGAGTCCTGGCTCTACAAGGTATATCCATCAAAAACACAAAGGAGCTGGCGGCAGCTTATGTACAGACAACACTCCAATCTATATTGGATTCACTTCAGCATTCGGCATGGTTCCCTGTTCCGTTTTTCCCTTATGAAAATCTATTATATATGAGTTTCAATAACACTTGGTGTATGTTTGACCAGAAACCTGAGTGTTGGACAAATAAAGGCAGCACACATCAACCAAACCTCATGGTTGATGTGGTGTGTGTGTGTGTGTGTGTGTGTGTGTGTGTGTGTGTGTGTGTGTGTGTGTGTGTGTGTGTGTGTGTGTCTAGCAATGTGATGATGTTTATAGCAGGGTAGTGGAAACTTTTTGGGGGGTGGGGTCATGTGACCAGCTTTGTCCTCTCTTATTATCTGGCAGGAATGTCATATTAATCCCTTTATCCTCAAAAAGAGCGAGAGAGAGGCTGGGAGACAGACTGAGGATGGTAGGGAGAGAAAAAGAGAGAGAGATTTAGAGCTAAATCCTTTACTAGTTCTCAGAATCAGAGGGGAGACAAACAGTAAAACTGAGAGGCATATATTGAAAGAAAGAAAATTGACGAGTGAAATAATTCTTTCCACTTTACGAATAGAAAGAGCAAAAAAAAGGCTTGTGAGATAAGGCCGAGGAGCAGTTTAAGAGGGACCTATTACTTAGCAAGAAAGCCTGGGATGTAGTGAAAAAGTAAAGAGAAGAGGTGAGGGGGAAAACTAAAATTCAGGTTTGGGGTCACGGAGACCTTACACACAACTGACTGGTTAATGTGTTTGTCGGGCTGACATGGGAAATGTGATAGTGGCATTTAGGCCTGCAATAGACACCAATCATACTAAAAGCCTTTCAGGGGCATTTTGTCCTTTTAACACTAACGGTTGCAGTGACTTGTCAGTGCTAATGTGTCAGTCTGCATGTGAGCGTGACATCCTGTTCAATATATGCACTTTGCATTCATTATGACAGGTAGAGAAGGCTGCTGTCATTTGTTACATGCAAATTAAATGACTTCTTAGACAGTTTTAAAGGTCCCATGTCATGGCCATTTCTATTGATCATATTTCCATTGTTGAGGTCTACTAGAATAGATTTAAATTGTTCAATGTTCCAAAATCACATTGGTTTCTCATACAGCATCTCTGTATTCACCAGGTATTCACTCTCTGTCCTAAACGGCTTGTTGGAGCTCCTGCCCCCCCCTCCCTGTGAGCCCAGTGTGCTCTGATTGGTCGGGACGTTGCGAGGCTCGTTGCTGCTCGCCGCTGCGAGCTGCTGCGAGGAGCGGACAGGTTTCCGGGTCGGCGAAACTCATCCTGAGCACACACAAACACTCACAGCCGAAGTAAAAACAATAAGTGTGGCTTGATATTGAGTACGAAAAAGGTTTATAACGCTGTGAGAATGGGTCTGCGGAGAGCATTACTCCGCGATCCCAACTCGTCTATTACCAGCGTTCAGGAAGCTCTATGCAAGTCAATGGGGACTCCCTGTTAGTTAGCCAAGGGATCCTGGTGTGTGAGGTGCTCCGCGGATTGGTGAGGCGTTTTGGGGCAGCATAGACAGGTCTTTTCTGTGTTAGAGTTTTACTCGCTACAGGGTGTACTTTGAGGGTTTTTGACTCTGCAGACTGTTTACATGCATAAAAACCTTCATAACACACAAGGGGACGGGTAATAACCGGAAAAGCATGACATGGGCCCTTTAATACATTCAACCTATAGTCCAGGCCTGTGGCAAAATAATATAAACAAAGCATTCATCTTTACTAAGGCTTTGACCTGTTCGCCCAGTTATATACTGACAGAGATCACATTGACCTGCCGGGAGTGTAATCTATCTAAACGTCAGTTAGAGAAATCAGAGGAATCCATTTTAAAACCTTTCCCATTTAAGAAGAGTACAATAACTTCAGAAGAAGACTTCAGACGTTTACGGCTCTTATCATTTGGCAACATGCTCTGATACAGACCTGCTGAGGAATCCTGGGAAGGAGAGGCGGACAGGGTATCCATAACGGATCATGCGCACCATCTCAAGCACCCCGATGTACTGCAGCTGGGTGGACACATGGGAGCTGTCAAAACTTTCGGGCTGACCGCTTGTGTTGGGGCGCACACACTCCACAAAGTGAGGAGTGCAAGCCTGCAGCTTACTCATCACTTCTGACAGTGTGTTCTGAAAGAGGAAAAAGGAGAGGAGATACAGTTGAAGGCACCCACGTGTACTTTTACAGTCATAAAAGCATTAACAACATTTATTGTGCTGTTATTGTGCACTGCCAGCCATGGGAAGGCAGTGCTCTCTGGCTGCTGTCTTTGATGTCGTAACTGGATTTGTGACTGGAGTGAGATCACATAGTGTTTGAGACAAAGTGGTCTGATTTTTGGGGGGTGGCGGTGTTTTGGAAACAAAAAAACAAAGAGCTCTTTAGAAAGGATGTGTGAGTGTGAGAGAGTTTTTCTTCCAGCCCTGAATTCACAGATGCTGCCTCCAGGGCCACACAGACACACACATGAACACACATCTACGTAAACGCTTACATCTGTGTTTCTTACACTTCTCAAACTGACGTCAGCCTGAGCTCTGCATAGCCTTGGGTACAACGATCAACAACTCACTCCTCGACTTTGAACGTCACTACCAGTATTTACATTACTTTCCTCCTTGCAAACATGTGCATGCGCACACACAAATGCATGCGCACGGCACACAGTGGTTGTTGTTCATTGTTCATTCATTCATGAGGGCTTCATGCTTGGCTTGGTACAGCTTCATTCTTCATCCCACTCTCTCCTTCCCTGCCATTCCCTGAGGGACTTGTCCACCAAAAACCCACAACTCTGATTGTGCAATACAGTGGCTTCATTCAAGCCAAAGGTACTGCTGCTCTGAGACACATTTCAGCCCCCCTCTGTCACCAGCAGAGACTGAACTCATTTCCTTCTGAATGCAATCAAAAAATACGTCCAGCGGTTTATTGAGATGAAAACTTAATTCACAAAAAACCCTTAAGTTTCATAAACAAATCCCTTCATTCATTCAAGATCTGTTCCAGGTGCTTGGAGGTATACTCTGTAAGGAACAGGTAGGACAAGAGAAAATGAATATACTGCTTTTCTCTGATTGGCAGAAAAATATATATTAAACTTGTATATTAACTTTTTTTGTTCATATAATGTTTTACTACTTCGCAGTAGGACTGAAAGAAACTGAGAGACTGAGGTCACTGGGCTAACACATTCAGACAGACAAACACATTCATACCTATGGACAATTTAGAGTGCAATCACTGTGTGGGAGAAGCCCATGCAGAGGAAGTTCAAAACTCCACTCCCTACAGACGGCAGACTCTTAACATCCGACTGTGGGAAACAACTGCTAACCAATAGGTCAACATGGAAAATAAAACCAATCATCTTGGTTTATGACTTAGAGATGTAGAAATAGGGCTTATCCTGTCAAAAACTGGGAGATGGGGTGTTTCTTACCCTCAGCTGGACAGCCACTGTGATGGGCCCACAGCGCTCCAGCCGTTGGAGGAAGGAACTCGATCCTTTCTTCTTCAAGATCTGACAATGGAAAAAGATAATAGAGAGAAAAACATATGAGATAGATGTGCATCATAGAGGACACCGAGGAATATGGAATCATTACAATATAATCATCACATGATACTTGACTTTGACTAGACGACAAAACACTGTTCGATTCCTTTTGTCTTGATTCTGTGCAGGATGTTTGCAAAGCACACTAAACAGACACAATTATTCTGTTTCCTTTGCTTTACAACCCAACCCATGGCATGTATTGCTTTCTCTACAACTAGTGTAGTAATGCCACATTAGCTAATGTTACCGTATAACGCTGCTGGCACAGATCTGGGAGGTGAGAGGTCTTTGGTAAGCCTGTTCTCTAGAGATGGCTAATGAGACACTGAGACAGCGGGCAGGACCCCCAGGAGGTTACAACCAGTAAGCCTCTCCAGTTCAGTGTAAAGTGCACCAGTATAATATACTTTTTCTAAATTTTAAAAGCAATCAAATTAAGACAGAGAAAAGGAGAGGGGGAGGATTGATTGAAAACATAATATTGATAGTATTTTTGTCAGGTGTTAGTTTTTTAATGACTGCATTTCATAAGTAAATCATCTGATCACATGACTGTGGCGTTTCTGTCAGAAACAAATCAAATCCCCAGAGGTTTATAAATAGCACTGTGGAGGGAAGTCGCTTAAATTACTGTAGATTGTTGTTTTTCGCAGAAGGACTATTCCTGTTTTTTTTTCTGATCGGCACAGCATGAATATATTTAATGAATTCAACCAAGATGCTTGGGTGTATTATTAAGTGGGGCGTAGCTACAGCGCAACAACAGACTCATTGCTTGTGTGGTTCATATACAGTCGTGCATTCAACACCCTGTGAGCAGCGTACTGTACCTTGGAAAGGTCATGGTACCTCCGGGGCTGTTGGGGGACACTGTTGACAGTGACAAGGGAGGATGGTGGCATCCTGTGGAGCAACAGGGTGGCTTTAGGCCCCCTCAGCCCGGCACGGCCCTGCGCTGCTGGCACCAGGGAACCAGTCTGAGTCAGCTTGGACTGGAAGAGCTGCTGCAGTAACACACTCTCACTGGCTGTGGGGCACCAAGCACATACACACAGAGAGAGAGAGAGGGAGGAAAATAACGATGAAAAGAAGCAACAGCATTGGTGGAAATCAGGGGGTGGAGGAGAGTAAGGAAAGGTGAAATGAACAATTAGATGGAAAGAAAGAAAAGAAAGATCAGGAAATCGGTAAACAGAAAGGAGAGAGGCCTCAGAAGAATAGGAAGAGGAAGAAAGTTAGTCTCCATGTAAACAATCTGAGGGCAACAAGAGGGGGCGGACAATGCCACTCGACAACACGTGGCGCGACCACAACAACGAGCCCATTCACAAAGCCAAACAACATGTGTGTGAACGTGGGAGTGTGGCTCTCATCTGAAAGGCTGAGAGAGAGGGAGAGGGAAAGGGAAAGAGAAAGGATGCCAGGTAGGAGTACCAAGCAAAGAAAAACAAACATGACTCCTGCACTCATTTAAGGATTTAATCACACACAGATTCAAGTGTAATTGTCTTTTCATTTAAAGCAATTATTTCCACCGCCTCCTGAGTATAGACTTACATAGATCCCTCTGCTCTTGTATTAGCTTTAAGGCTTTAGCTTTAAGTGGGGAAGAGATGACATCCATAAAAAGTAACCACGTCGTGTGTATGTCAGTGTGTGTGGCTGAATGGTGGCGACGCATCGACTGGGTCAGACGGAGGGACAACAGCCAAGTGTGAGTGAAGGGCTTGCCTTTAGAAGATTAGCCTCATCATGGAAATTATAGCAATTAGGCTGCTGGATGCAAGGCTAGCCTGGCAGACACACAAAGACTGCCTGTGTCCTGCTAAACACAACACCCCACATCTGGCACCTTCTATAGACAATATACACAGACGGAGCTGTCTGCTGCATATGGGATGAAACACACACATACAAACACAAGCACACTTAGACAAAGAGTGGTTCTGTGTGCTGTTAGTTTAAACAAGAGTGCATCTTTGTGTTTAAGTGTCCTGACGCCACAATGTGCTCATACGTGTGTTTTTCATTTGGTACTTACACTTCATCGTAAACAGGAGATTCTGAGGAAGGGAGTCTTTGTTTCTTGTGAGTGATCCTGTGAGATCATATGAAATCTGGTGGGGAAACAAATCACACATGGATATTCAGTGCATTTACACTAGTACATTTGTAAAAGCACTAAACTAGTTTCTATGGCTATAAGATGTAAAAAAATGTTTTAATCCTTTACAACATCTTCATGTATGAGTTGAAAAGAAAACGTTATCTATTTTTTGTCACTTTTTAACTTTTGGACAATCGCAATCTAGTCTTTTAAAGGAAAGCAATATTATGAAAAATGACAACTATGTAGTTTGCAATTTTCTGCTGCATAGTACTTTGTACGGATAGGTGAATGGAACTATTATTCATTTTTTTTAAAGGTCTTAATACCTTAAGACCTTATTTTTGTCACTGGGCTTTTGGCTTTTAAAAAGTCATAAAGTTTCCAATAAAGGGAAAAAGGCAGCTTTAATACAAGCACATACACATTTTGTTTTAGCATGTGCCTCTGCACAGCAACAATAACCTCAACTATGATAAATTGCAATAACTCCATAAGGAAATGACATTGGTTACATTGCAGTTTTAGACACAATATGTAGGGAATGAGCCAGTTTGAAGTTAAATATTATTTTTTTTTTTTAAGAAAAGGAATCTAATGTTTGTGCTAAGATAAAAGAAAAATGTCAGTAGTGAAGAAGAGGGGGTCAGTTTGGTAATTTCTGTTTTTAAATCTTTGGAGAGTAAAACATCTTTTGCAACTGAATTTGTCCAACCCAAAGATGTCATTTCCATGGCCCAAGAGAGTTCAATCAACATTTGTCAATATGAGCTACTCTGTCTCAAGGCCAGAAACCAGAGCAGTAGGTCCCAAACTTGTGATTTCCTTAAGTATTATGTCTGGAGCGGCTCCAAAGACAATAAATGCGCGACTGATATTGTGAATGTTTTGTGATGTGATGGTTAGTTTTTGTAAAAACCCAATGAGCTTTATTCCATTGTAGTGTTCTCAGTTGTGAAACAAGAAATGTACGCGTGCCTGGGTGCTGTCAGTGTCATCTATAACATCTTTCCCAATTTAGATAAGATAAGAAGGAATTTCAGGATATGTTTATTTATTTATTGTCTATGGAGCAGAGCAAGACTTCATATTTGATGACATCAACATTTTAGCACTTTTTGGATTTGGGAGAAACGTTGTTCATGTTTACTTATACTTTTGGACTGTCTTTTAGGAGTAAAAGTAATGCATTTAAAAAATGGGCATGGGTCCACATTAGGTTCACAATTTGAGCTAGGCTGTAGTGTAATATATTGGGTTTTCCATGGACCAGATATTGATTGACGAGCAATTAATCGTGCCTGATTCACGTATGCCAAGCCCTACCACCTCTCAATACATATAAACATTTGAATGTAATAAAGACAGACCTGTCCGGCGTAGTGGCTGACAGTGAAGGCTGGCCCCTGATCTTTGGGTGGTGGGTTTCCGTTGCCATCCTTGGTCGTTAGAGACAGACCGTGAGTGGGACATGAGTCCAGCTGCGCTGACAGCCTCTTGTACAGACTCTGCTCCGCCGGCCCCAGGCTCTGGCTCTCCTCATCCAACACGCACAGCAACCCCTGAGGCTTCTGGGTGAGGAGCAAACAGAAGACCACATGTTTATGTCACCTTCATAAAGCACTTTTCATAATAATAGTAATTCATTATTTCCATTATGACACTTTTATTGATCACCGTATAGTCGTCCCTCATGATAACAGATACATTTTTGAGTTTTGTTTGGATTTTGGTCATAATTGATAAAGATTGTAGACAGACAAAAAAATCTAAGGTGAAAGGGTCACATGCAATAAAAGGGACAGGTCTCCATTACATGGGACACCACCAGTCCTACCAGTAATGTAACTTTATATAAATGAGAGAAACAGCTTCACATTTGTTGAAATAATTTCCAACTTTAAATGTAAGTCTCGTAAAAGCCTTTGCCAAAGCTCTGCGTGTGTGTGCAATGTTGAATAACATCATAACACACTAACTGGACTGAACCGGTCTAAACCAGCAACGTACCTGAAGAAAGAAGTCCAGGACGGCTGACTGGTTGCTGGAGTAGCGGGGGGTCTCCATGGCGATGCCCTCCTGCAGACAATCAGCCTGCTCCTGCTGGAATAGCACCTCAGAGACATACTGCCTCAGCCGCTCGTTGGTCATGTTCACGCACAGCTGGAATGCACACAACACACACATGGACCTGTAAACACACACTTCAGTGCACATGGCATGAAATTCCTCCTCAGAGACACCATGCTGTATGTTTGTTTTTAAAGAAAACAAATGCACAAATGTGATGTCAAACACAGCCGGCTGGGGCACCAACGGGGAAGTCAATGGGGCATAAATGAAATGACTACTCATATAAACACCAGACCAGAAATTATTGATGGATGTCCCTGTGTAGGGGCTTTTTCGATCCCACTATAATATGGACCAAGTGTTCCTGCTGGGACACATGAACTCTACCTAACCCAGCAGTAAACCAATCACAGCACAGGAGTCAATCAAATGAGTTTGTCTGTTGTCTTGCGTGCGAAGCTCTGGAGGGGAGACTCAAGTGTGACTTGTCACATTGATGTAATGAAAGAAATCACAGAATATGAAGTGGAACAACACAGCACAGAAGACTGCAGCAGCAGGCCAGTTTCAACTGTTCCTGAACCCAAAAGTGTCATGTAGAAGAACAGACAAAAAGTTATAGTGCTGTACACTAGGAATGAACTTGTCATTCTGTGTTTTTTTGAGGTGTCCCTTCTTTCAACCCAAAATCTGATGTATCCATCCTTCTTAGTCGTGGCTGGAGTTGGGCGAATGGTTGAAAATATTGGCTGTTGGCTGAGTACATCAGCGGCTGTTTTTTTGGGAGATTTTTGTCATTTTATTTAGCAAATGTAATGGTCGACCTCCAAATTAACAGCCGCTGCTCAGCATCAGAGAGACACTGGGGGGAAGGTGTTTAAAGCCAGGAAAGTTTCACATTTAACTGAATTAAGGGTTATTTTGGTTGCCGATTGTTGGAAAGGGGGGAAAACAAACCAAAAGGTTGTTTTCTTTGCTCCTGTTACGCTGCTGTTTTTAACGATGCCGAGCAACACGCATGCATTAATATAAGCAATTACCGGTTGTTGGGTGGATGGATAAAGGATTTGAATCGAACGCTATACCAGAGAGATTCAGCCATGTGATGACATGAATATTGTAGGTGAATTGATAATGACTTAAAAATAAAGTAAAACATCTAAATATTGATGTGAAGTACTAAAACAAAGCCATGAAGCCGTAGTTTCAGGGTAATGCTAAGTATCTACCAATAAGTGCTGATCTGAAGGTGTGTTGTGCTGTAGAGTAGGCGGCTATGGGCCTGTTTTTTTTCCATCAGTGTTTGTCTATTCTTTGTCTTCAAGGGAGTCTATTACATTAAAGGCTTAGTCCCAGCAGGTGGTTGATTGAGTTAACTCATTAGCAAAGTGCTGAGCAGGTATAACACAGCTCTAATTAACGAGCCCTAATGACCATGACCTGATCAAGCTGCGCCTGTAGAGCCTGAGTCTGCATGTGTGTACAAACATGTCAGAGAGTGAGGGCCACATCTACTGTAAGAGATCATCGAGTTTGTTTATCCAGATCTCACTCTCACTTTCCATGGGTGGGTGGGCGGTAATGTTGCCATATCTACACTTCAGTCAGACAACTCACGTGTTTCTTAATATGTTTATTATAAGCAGCATATAGTTTGAGTTTGGCGTCTAGGCTCGGGCCTCATCACTCCACAGATTTACAAAGAACATTGAGTGATGATTAGATAACTATCCCCCGAGCCTACAGGTGGAAGCTGGGGTGGAGCTGGGGTGGTGGTGGGGCACGCGAGTCGCAGCAACATGAAACACAGCAGCAGGAACATGAACGTAGCAATAGCAAGTGAACACAGCAGTGCAGCAGCAGCATAGCGAGGCGGAGGCAGGAAGACCTGGCAGCTTAAATAGAGCGGCATGTTGAGGAGAATGTGTTTGGTTGGTTGTAAGAGGGACGAGGTGCGTCACGTGTTAATGTATCATTGGTGCTCGAGTTGACTGCCTGAACTAGCTTGCAGGCTTCGCCCCATTTTAGCTACTGTGCATATGACATGAATATTGTAATGTGTGTGATTTGAACAGGATGATATTTATAGGTCGTTCAGCAGCAACAAAAGAAAAGAGGTTAGATTGAATGAGGCAATGCCACCGCTTGCCAAAGATGGTCTAGTTTTCCTTTTTTCTCATTTTGTTAACTCCCCCTCCCCTTTTCTTTCCTTCTGGCACTTGCACTCTCTGTGACCCGAAGAGGAAAGGTCACGCAATCCCTCGCTTCCACTTGGATTAGAGAACATGGAGGGTACTCATGCCACTGACATCTTAGAGCCATACACACACACGAAAACCTAAGTCACACAAGCAATGGCACACTGGCCTTAATAAAGTCTGGGAGGGGATTGGAAGTTCCATATTGAAGAAACGTAAGCTCTGAGTACTTAGCCTCTTGTGCATGACACACAAGACACACAAGACACACACACACACACACACACACACACACACACACACACACACACACACACAGTGATTTACAGAGTGACTACACCTCTGCAATGTCTTACAATGTAGTAGTCCATTAACAGTGAATTCTTGATGAGCACATAAAAGATGAATGGCCAATAACAGGTGAGCTGTAGAGAGATGCACATGTTGTACTCACTAAACTATGCAGTGTAATAACATACAGTGAAATACCGAAAGCAACCAAGCATCACAGACATGCTGATCTATCTGTGTACATAACAGGTGAGCTGTAGAGAGATGCACATGTTGTACTCACTAAACAATGCAATGTAATAACATACAGTGAAATACCGAAAGCAACCAAGCATCACAGACATGCTGATCTATCTGTGTACATAACAGGTGCATACGTACATGATTTGTACAGTCACCCGAGAAATATGAACTAAATAATGTATGTAAAAACGTTAAGACTCTCACACACACACGGACAAATACACACTGGTTTGAAGCTGCCCATTACTCCAACCTCTCACACACTGAGCACTCATTGTGTCCGCCGTCGGTTCATTTTGAGGATAGCTGAACATCACGTCACAGACCTCATCTAATTCATTACAGACTAAAATGTCCGGGCTAAAATAGAAAAAAGCCCCAAATATTTGTCAGAATTTGATTAAGATATGTGTGAAACTAAATTACCACACTCTGTTCAGAGAGATTTCCTCTAAGCAAATTGACAATTATTCAGGGAATGTCATAAATGCATTTGGCCTGATCTGCCGGCTTTAGTGAAAGAGGACACACATTGATAGGTTTCTTTGGGGTTAACTTAAATTGAATACAAGTAAGCATCATCCCACCTGCTCAAATCCATTCCTTTGAAATTCTTCAAACCCAAAGATGTCCAAGATCCCGATTTCGAGGGCAGGATCACTGGAAGAAAGAGAATTTGTATTATCTTACACCACTTTCACTCCAGGATCACCTTGAGAACGTGTTTGCATGGTTGCATGACTGACAGGAATTATCACATTTTCCCATGTGTTTGTGTATGTTTGTTTGTGTGTGCGTGTGTTTGTGTGTGTGTGAAATAACACATTTAAAAGGGGTGTACCCGTAGTGAGCAGTGTGGTTGACATATTTATTATGTTCTGAGGTTGGTTTGTAACCAAGGCAAAGCACAAACACATTCCAGAAGATGGAGCGCCGGTTATCTGACAGAGTGTGATAAGACTTCACAACATAAACAATACCAAGGATTCCATTGGCCTCCACCTAGGAGTGTACTGTGTGTGTGTGTGTGTGTGTGTGTGTGTGTGTGTGTGTGTGTGTGTGTGTGTGTGTGTGTGTGTGTGTGTGTGTGTGTGTGTGTGTGTGTGTGTGTGTGTGTGTGTGTGTGTGTGTGTGTGTGTGTGTGTGTGTGTGTGAGTTGTTGAGTGAGAGACTTTCACATAAACCTTGGGTGTGTCCTCCATCTCTACCGTTTTTTGTTCAGGACTTTCCATTTCAGCATACATACCTATTTGTGCATGTCATGTAAACTACTAGCCTCATCTCTATGCTATGTGTGATTGTGTCACAATATGAGAGCAGTCACTCCTTTGAGAGACTGCTCTTGTGTGATGACAGAAATATTTGGTTGTTTTGATGATAACAGTTATCAGCTGCCAGGGCTTCAAAAATAAATTATTTTGGCAGTTAACACTAAAAGAAACAACCTTGGCTCACATGTGCATAAACACAGATATACACACATGCACACACATAGATATACCCAATGCTGTCGTCCTGTCCCTGTAGGTACTCGTTGGTGCTGTTGACCAGATAACTGAAGAGGCGACCATAGATGGCTTTCGCAAGCTGGTCTCTGTACTGTTCTGACATCTCCACCGTGTGGCGTCGGGTGATCATGTCACCTGAGGTAAAGGGGACATGGCAACACAAATGTATTATAATTTGATTAAGAGCAGTGATATTTCTGAAGTTGTGTAGTTGTGCCACTTTATCATCTTTTGTCCACGAGAGAACATTTATGTAAACAAATTATAATTATAAAACAAAAAAATGTATTCTGTACAAATCTTGGACATTATAAGGTATCCATTAATCACATATTGTGTTTATGGTTTTTTTGCTCTAAAAACGAATATAAGATACTGTTAAAATATATTTTAACTTGAAAATGACTATCTTTGTCAAACTGAACAAATATTTCCATTGACAAACAAGATATTTAATCTCTCACGAAAGACATTTTGACAAATTTGCCTTTTTTCCCCCCCAATTTGAACCACCTAATTCCCTTTACACTGTGCTCATTAGTCACTTACTATAAACCTTTATAGGATTGATCTTGATTGATGACATGGTGGTTGTTGAAATACAAGATGCAAGTGTGTATTATGAACAGTGCCAAGGTTTTTCCTCTGCTGTGATTCTCTGGAGAAAAGATTAATCTGTAGTAATCCTTGTGAAACTACTAATGTGTGTGGCATATGAATGGCCGAGTGATGGCGAAGGCCGGTGTGTGGGTACCTTTAAAGTACTGAACGTCAGAGATGAGGGCATTGCTTAAGTCCCCGGAGCACACCTGCAACAATCCAGCAACTGTGCAGAGAAAGATCAAAGAGGAAGAGAGAGAGAAAGACACAGTAACTCAATAACTGACAGTGACGTGATGACAGGATGAGAAATATCACAGCATTAATCACTACATGTGAGGATGTTTGTCAGAAAGGAAACGCTGATAACATCCCAGAAATACATCTACTCATTGCTACTCATCACCCTGCCAGCACAACAAGCTGAGCTCTGCCTCAGATCATTCCCACTTCATCGATCAGTAGAGCTGGCAGCCATTAGTCATCAGCGGGTTTCTGAGCAGAGCCCATAAACAAGCAGCAGGGACAGGTGACATGAGGCCAGAATCCCTCACAAGCCATGACATCACATCTCCCTGACAACGAGTGGCTACACTTTCCCGTTCCGGTGCTGATGTCGTTTGTTTACCATCTCACAAAAGGTCAGGGGTCACAGGAATAAATGTAGCGGTTGTAAGGGAGATGGAGAAAGGTTGGAAACCCAGGCACAATGAGCAGGAAAGTGTGTCTCCTCACCACCATGAGGCTCACCAGACAGGTGCATGTCTGGCCTTTAGCTAGTGCTGGCAAGCTGCCAAGCAGAACTACAAGGGGGGGAGGAGCGATGACTACGAGGTAAACAAGCTGAGCGGATGTGATGCACCCCTCCTTTCCGCACTATCCCACCTACACACAGGGGGGAAATGTGACCACGGGTATGTGACGGGGAGGCACTGACCTCTCTCCAGCAGCTGCAGGTCCGAAGGGAAGGCTGTATCGGCATCTGTCAATGCAGTAAACCGTATGTCCCCAATATGGAGCACAGCAGATAGCAGAGTAAACACTGAGTCAACCTCCTAAAAGAGACAGAGACAGACAGAGACAGGAAAGAGAGTGAGTGGGGTGTTAGTGAGGCATTAACACAATTAAGTAAGTCAAATGTAGTCCTAATCAAAAAGATAGATTTTCCTTTTTTATGATAAATACCAACTTGCACTTCAAGTAATGCTGAGGAAATGTTTCATGATACTAAACCTCTTCAAAATGAAAGAACTGGTGATGTTCTCTATTTTTTTGTCAACACTTCCCATGAAATGATATGCATCAACCCTCCTCCCTTGATTCACACACTTCTCTTCCTTCGCCCCACTCTCCCTTCCTCTCTGCCCTTGAGTAGAGGACGCTTAATGGAATACCCCATTACCCACTGCTCTGAATCTCTGAGAGGGGGATGTTGGAGTTTGAGAGTGTGTGCTCATGTGTGTTTGTGTGTCTGAATATGTCTGCGTGTGCACTCTCTCAAGGCAGGATATTGGAACTGATATCTGGGAGATAAACACAAGCATTAGTCTCTGTCTGACACTCTATACACAGACAGACCCCCCCCTGCTTAGAAAAGGAGAAGAAAGGGAGCAAGGGTGCAAGGGAGAAAGAAAGGAGCGTTAGGGAGCGTTAATGACGATTGACCTTTGGGTCTGGACTGGGAATCTTCCCCTGATTAGACTTAGACAGAGACCAATGGGTGGTCTAAGACTTCCACTCCTACTCCCCCACTGCGTCTCCTGTCCTCTGGACTCTCTCTCTTATCCGGCGGACACTAGTGCCCTCCGATATAAATCTATCGCTCTACTCCTCTGTCCCTTAGGCTTTGCCTGTGTGTATTGACTGCTGCTGGATTAAAAGGTGAGCTGGTGGTCAGTCGGATGCTGACAGATGCTGACTGGGAATCTAAGAATAGAACCTGATAATGGGGCTGGGAACAGAGCTGGTGGTGCACACTGTAGCACACGCAGCGTTCATAAATCTCTAAAGACCTTGTCTTCTGCATTTGGTCACACATGTCTTTAGATAGATAATTGAAACACATGATGAGTCCCAATTCAGGACCCCAAGAGTCCCAATCCCAATCTAAACATCTAGGCCGAATATGTCATAACAGGCAGATGATGCCTGTCTCATTTCAAAGGCTGTGCCTGAACCGAGAGGACACCCTGTTGTATCCTTTGGTATCCCACAATCCATTATGCACTGGTCAATTGTTTAATGGAGCATGGACAATCCCTGTCAACTTGGAAATGATCATGTCATTATTTACGAGGTATTACTGTGACAACATTGAGGCCATACATTTTTCAAATATTTTTCTTTACAAATTGTACTAAATTCAATAGTCTAAGCCATTCGTTTTTCTGTCTATGAGGGTACAAACACATCGTTTGGATAATCCAGCTTTAAGACTCGGGCACATTTACAGACATTATTTTGACCTGGGGATAATTCTCATCAATGACCTCATATGTAGCTACTTTAGTGTGTGTGACATCAACACTTTAAAAGATGCCTGCTGTCAATAACCTTTGAATAAACAGAGTGAACAGAAGCCGTATGCAGTGCCAATCGATACCTGCTTGTTGAAGCCCAGGGCTCGCAGGGCGTGTTTGACGGCTGTGAGGCGCTCCCTGCTCTCGGTGGAGGCTTCAGCTACTGGAGGGTTCTCCCCGGGAAGTCTTCCACTAAGATACCTGGAAAAGAACAGAGAAATGTGGACAAATGTTTAAGACACCCTTAAAAACTAAATTACCAAAGTGAGCAAGGTGCGTCCTATGATGAGTGTTCAGGTGCAAACATTTATTAATGTGCTCAGCAGTACTTTTCTTTTTTAAATATCTTTGTGTAGAAAAGTCCCAGGCACACTTTTCAGAGAGCTGTGTTTGGAAGGGAGAGAAAAGAGCAAATTGGGTTTTAAATCTACAGAACTGGATCATGCACACCTAACAAAGACCCATGGAGACATAAAAGGATAGTGAGGTGCCAGAGGGTCTGCAAAACAGAGCAATCCAGGTCAGTGGTTACCGCATTGGTGGAGTACCGCGAATAAAAGTGCTGTTAGCGTAACCCACAATCCCACTGTCGCTATGCAAGAAAGAGCATGCATGAGTAGAGGTGTGAAACACAAACTAAACACCAGATAAAAGTAAGAGATTCTCAGAGAACAATGTGTGTTAAAAATGGATACAGACACTCATGTATTCAGGCATAAACACACACACAATCTCTCTGAAGACATTAAATATGAATGTTTATATATCGTCAGTGTTGAGTTGAACTGTGTACGTGAGCAGCTTTTTTTTAAGTAAGTAAAAACCTCTTAAACTAAGAGGCAAGAAAGATATTTAAATAAACAATTACTCTTGTTGGTGAGAGCAACAACCAGCTGCCATTCTACCTTCACAGGTGATTTTGTGAACTCTCAAAATACACAAGGCAGCTGAATGCCACGTACCTATGAGCCAGGACATTGTTGAGGTAAAGTGCGCTGTTCTCCTCAGGCGACTGGCCCTCAGCCATCAGATGGAAGATGTTGAAGCTGTGTTGTTGAGGAGGCAGGTGGACCAGACGAGACTTCTCCAGCATGTGGGCGTACACACGGGCTTAAACATCAGAAGTGTATTTTAGTTCAATAACACGTGGGTAAATTACATTTCAACAGTGCTGATGATAGTACAATAGTACATTTGTGGCCACTGATCAAATTAAGATGGATAAAAAATAAGGTGAGGGGCTGTAAAACAGATCACAAATAGAAACACCAGAACAGTGGACTGATGGGCTTCAACTGCCCCCTGCTGGCGAGATTTAAGATTTCTTCAATGCTTTACTGTCATGTACACAGTATACTACAGTGTGTAGATCATATAGCAATGAAAAACTTAAGTCCCAGGCTCCTCCAACAATGCAACATGAATATATATAGGACATAAAACAATAAAAAACGATTACAATTGTGAAAGAAATAACAGAATAGAAATAAAATAGTGCAAGAAGAAATAAAATAGTGCAAGAATAATCACTATAATAATAATAATATAATATAATAATAATCACACAGTAGTGCGGTGCCTTACTATGAGTCTGTTATGTTTTATGTCTAAGATCTCTCAAATCTTGTGATCAAGATTGTTAAACATTTCTGTTTTCTTATCTTGACAATAAAGCTCAGGATATATTTGAACATTTGGAAGAATGAAGTAGGATATTTAGACCCTGCTCAGTTTCTCCTGACTCTTATGGAAAATACAGATACAACTATATGAAAGTAATTGTAAAGCCAACTAACAAACAATCACTTTCCCTGTAGAAATGTAGCTTACCTCTGAGCAGTGTCTTCCTTTTGTCACAGTATTGGATGGTCAACAGTTTGATAAAACGGCTCGAGTTGTTGTTCTTCAGAGTCTTTGCATGACCGAAGGCCTCCAGAATACAGTTTACCTGCATATTGTATCACACCAAAATACAATTGTTACCAGTGAGATAGTATTTTACTTAAGCATGACTTTTACTGTACAGTATGTTCATCTTTTTATTTTCCAAAATAGTCAAATCAAGTTTGTTAAACATATTTCTGAACCTGAATCAAAAAGGAATTCTGCTTCTATACCAATTGCTACCACTAGATGTCAATATTTATCCATTATCTGGGACTTGAGTATTTTTTGTGTCCCAGGATGATCAGAGAGCGAGCTGACCCAGTTATCGACTACATAACGATGACTTCATCAGAATACAGCACTTGCAATCCGAGGCGACACACGATTTGTTACCCGCCTGATAGACCCAGTGCAAAACAGTGAATCATATGGAAAGCACCACGATGGTGTCACAATAAATGGAGGATATGAAAACCTGACCTTGCTTAAACACTTAATAGTGTGCCATGGAAAGGACATGGGTATTTAATGTCCTGCTTTACCCTAATATAGTTTTTTTAAATCAATACTCTTTTCTTAGGATGTAGAGAAAAGGGACTGCTTCCTAAGAAAAACGTTTCAAATGATTTCCTCTGCTGGAAATGGTTTAGCCGAACAGAAACAGCACAGTATAGAGAGAGTGGGATCTTAATGGAAATCTTGATGATGCAATCAAACAGGGTTTGAATGCTCAAATGATGCCTTTGGCGAATGAATAGCTATCAAGCAGAGAAAAAAAGACTTTCAGTTAAGCCCCATACTCTGTGTGGTAATCTATACGTCTATTTTACTCAGCACGGCAACAGAAGGAGACATTTACATGACTCCTGCCTTACTACACTTGCACTGTCACTATCTGATTTGTTATCAAAGAAATGATATGATGAAGGAACAATAGGCAGAGTAAAAACATAAGATCAGGGAGATAGGGTGAAATATGCCTGGCTTTGAAGAGTGCACAAATATTCATGAGTTTCTCACTGAGGAATGATTGTGAGTGCCATGGAATTTGAAATGAAATAACAGCACACAGTTCTACTATAAGATTATCGTTCGAACATTTCGCCTTTTCGCCATCTAAAATAATGACTCAAGGGCATTATAGCAACAAATGATTCAAGACACTGAGATTTCATCACATGTTCGTAAGCCATAAGCCTCCAGGACCCGACCTGACGACTGCAAGAAGAGTTAAATAAATAGAGTATAGAGAACAGACTTACGTGTTTCATTCTGGGCTCCAGTGCAAAGCCTTTGGGGCTGGAGCGGGCTGTCAGATGTCTCACTATGTGCTTAAAGGCCTCCGTTTTCCCAGAACCACTTTCACCACTAGAGAGAAAGAGAAAATTGCTAATTTAATGTCCTTCCTGCCTGAGGTGATGTTATTAATGTTTCGACATTTATTAAAGTTTTATAGCAATTACTGAACAGTGAAACCGGTTTAGCTTGCAGAGATAATTCCTCCTGTGCATCCTGGGCAATTAAAGAGTCTTTCTGATCCAATGTTAATGATGGGGTACCAAATCCACATGTCACGAATTTCCCCCGTATTGATATTTCAAATAACTCTTTATACTTAAAAAAAGTGTGAAAAAACTTGTGAAAAAATGTGTGTCTCATATGATTTTATCTTAAATTAATAGATAGTGACTAGAGTCCAATTATTGGAAAGCAAACAAAGTCAAATTAAAAAGCTGCTACTAAGCAACTCTAATAAACGAGAATAAAAGGACAAAACCAAGCATCTGTGTCAGTTACATTGCTCTAGATGTGTCTCAGAAGAATAGATGATATGCATTAGTCATGAGGGTGTTACCAACATCTGTCATCTCAGTTGCATGCCTCCACCTAGCTGACATCACCCATTCAGGGACCCCCACCCATCTAAATCACCATCTATTCCGTCTTTCTGACACAACTAACGGGGCTCCATTGATCACCACTTTCCACACGCTGTTATTGCCACAACTTATCTGGCAGTTGAGGCTTTTTTCAATTTGTCATTGAGTAGATATTAAATCAGGTACCAACGCAGTACATGCTCCGACACTCACCGTCACGCAGAGAGCTGAGACCGGCGTGTAACACCTAGCAGATGGCTGCAGTAGGTCAGAAATCATCACTAATGGCCACAGTGTGCTGTGGTGCGCTGTTTGTTGCTATGAGTGCGGAGTCCAAAGGCCTTTCCACTGCCTTTTCATTTAACAGATTTTTATTAGATTTCAAGGGCATTTTGTTAGAGCACTAGCCCTGGGGGATCATGGCCTTGCCTGTAAACGTGTTAGTGTGTGCATGTGTGAGGAAATATGGAGCGAAACAGAGGGCTTGAAAGAGAAGCAAGAAAAGGAGGAATAAAATACAGTGTGTGTATGTGGGAAGGCACGGTGTCATGTCCGAGCAGGTGTGTGTGTGTGTGTTTGTTTGTGTGTGTGAGTGAGATGGATAGCCTGTGGCCAGGGCGCATTAACTCTCTGCCAGATTGGTTACAACTCAGCGGGAATGTCACTGTACAGCCGGAACGGGATTTAATTGCAATCAGGAAGCTGCCTCCGTCCAGCTGAGGACAAAGGGCAAGAAGCTACAACACTCCGAGCTAACCTCCATCGCTGCGTGAACATTGAACAGGTCCACTGCTCAGCTCAGGCGGAGAGCTATTAGTCTCTCAGGGAGTGTTAAACAGGTGGAGTTATTTCCCTCTGTTGAGTTTCTTGTCTCATAATCCAGAAGGCACGGAGTTGAGTGTGTACCTCAAGATGAAACATTGTGGGCGTCTCTCCTGCAGCATCATGTGGTACGCTCTTTCTGCTGAGGAGAAGATGTGAGGCGGCAGAGAGGAGCACAGACGACCCGTGGAGCTCAGGTACAACTGACTCACCTGAGAGAGAAAGACAAGTAAGTTAAGACATTAGATTACAACCTGATGTTACATGGATACACACACACACACAGGGGTGAGCAACACAGAGGATAACGTTTCAGGGAAACAGTGAGACCATGCTGGATATAACTTTCTATAGCACTGACACTAAACCACTAAGAAGGTGTGGTTTACTACTCAGTCTAGCCATGTCATTTGACCTACACTGACCAAGATGAATTCAGACTCATTTCTGCTGTTTAACTTACAAATACCAAACAACCAGCCAGCAAATGCACTATGGACAAATTCCCCGACATGTCTCTGTAATAAAAAAAGCAACAGGAATTCCTCTTCCTTAATAGTTTTAGGAAGGTAACAGTTTATTGATATATAATAAAAATGTAGCTAAATAATTGCCAAAATGTGATTTTCTGTTTAGTTTGTTATTGGAAACATCACATATCTATTTTGTTTCAAACACTGATGTTGTTGTTGTCTTAAAAACAATTGTATTATGTATACTGTATATCACTACCATGGGACCCGACTTTAAATTTAGACTGAACTATTGACTGGAAATGTTAATAGCTTTTATTTCAGACTTAAAAATCAGTTTTTATAACAATGTTGTCATTCTAAGTCTCTGACTAAATGAAGGGTTTATAGAATGTTACTCACGATATTGACTCTTTCTTTTTGTTGAAACACGGTCAGTGTATCAGAAAGTTAATCCCACCATTGTCTGCCATGCTAATCTCTGATATAACTGTACTACTGTATGACACCCTTTCTTTAACCAGTAGAGAGGATGTGAGCCAAACAGTGCTGTATTTGGCAATGGAAAAGGTATGGAGGATGGGCTGTGGACCACCAGAACAGAGGGGGTGACAGACGGCCAGCAGGTCACACATGTTGTGACATATGTCCTCCTCACACCGGCCCCTCCCTGCTCGTCCACATGTCCTCTCCATCGGGTGTGGGTGTGGACGCCTGGAGTGAGTCCAGACCGAGGCTGGAATGGGACGGCCAGAGGGGGCCTGGTTTCATTCTGTCATGGCAGGAGAAGATGTCTCCTCCATCCAACCCCTCCTGGGCTCACATGAGCAAGGGGCTCAGCTGGCATTAATTCCGCTTTTTGAGTTAATCACTGTTTAACATGGCTGACAAACAATCAATGTGTAAAAGGTAAAAATATGCTGTATTTTACCGGTAGAGAAAGTGTTTTTAAAAGTAAAAAAAACATAATAGAGTGTGTGTGTGGGGTTGTGTGTGTGTTAGCTAAACTGAATCTCTCGCCCCAGCTGATGCAGAGTCAGCCTAGTGCTGTGTATCACTGACAGGAAGACTGCATTATTTATCAACCACAAGGTCCATTTCATCTGTTCATGACCTGCTTCTTATGCAGCAAACATGCCTTCTTTATAGTACGATTGCACATGTAAAATGCATAACCTATCAAATGTAAACCCACGTGTTTTAAGCGTGGATCAAAGTACATAGAAATGCAAAATAAACATTAGGAGAGCAAAGCACAGCATATATTTTAAGCCTATGTGGAATAGATGTAATTGAAATGCATGCTTACCAAGGTGGAGTAGATGGGCAGCTCTTTGTTTGGGTTGACCAGCAGAAGGATGTGTCCAATGTAAGTCTACAAGGAAGAAAAAACACCCACCTAAGTGATCTTTTACTCATGAATAAAATTATGAAAAACCTTTGTCTTTCGAGCGTGACCGTTTTGAAACAGGCTGAAGCTGTGTTTTAATTACCGACAGATTGCCTGAAGCTAACACTGAAATGAGAATAAGTGCTGTCACCCTCTTTCCTCACATTAGTATTCATGGTGGTGACAATCTGTATTACCTTAAAGAATATGGTAATCTCATGGCAAAGAAAGGTCAGGACGAGACCTCCAAGGATAACCTTAGTAATGACCTTTTTCCAGGAAAAAAAACCCAATTCTGCCCTCCTACGCGTACACAAACCCTGAGGCCATTTAGATAAAATAACCAACTGCCAATTCCTGACCCTTCCCACTAAACTGCTAACCCCCTGTTTCTCAGTTAGAGTCCTGGAGGCTGTTTGAAAGCTAACACGGTGTCTCCTGGGAGAGCGCAGACATGCTAACATTCTGCAGCATGCTGCTCTGTCCTCAGGCCCGGGCTCAAGGTTAATGACTTGAACACATTTTCCGCTGCTTGCAGACACCGAGCGAAAGTCAATATACAAGTGTTGCTTTTTTTTTTTTACACGTAAAACTTCCACACTAACTGAAGACGTTGAAGGATTGACAATCATGTGAAAAGATGAAACGGTGTCTTCCGTCATATCCTTCCCCAGTTCCTTGGCCCTCTGCTCAGGGGTTTAGTGGTCCTTCTATCCTGGCAAAAGGCAGCAGCCCCCTCATCAAAGCCCCCTTTCTGACCACCCTGCTGGGGACATATTGAGCATCTACCTCCTTTGTCCTTCCCCCTTATTTCTGTCCCTCATCACATCTATGCTTGTTCACCTTTTTCTTTAAATACCGTCCATTGTGTACATAAAGTCATATTTTATGGTATTGCAACAAGAAGGTGAAAAAGTGCAGAAATGCAAAGGAATTCATTTACTCTGTAACATGAAAATCATTTCTAAGAAAGGGTTCAAGGGCTTTTAAAAAAACCTTATTTCATCTTAGTCATCCTCCAACAATGCTCATTAAATATGTATAGAAAATACATTCCTGCAAGCAAACATAATCTGAATCGAAAACATGAAACAGTGCAGTGGGATCAAATAAAGACAAATAAAATATAAACTGAATGCAAACTAGAAATGTACAGGTGTAAACTGTTCTGTAAAACAATTCATACAAGTATATAAGGGTATATTTATATTTGTTTATCAGTTGAATCTTTTAACATTACATGAAAAACCATTATTTGCTAAACTGCATACATTTTATAATTATAATGTGAACGAGAACGATGCAATGTGTGTATCTTCATGACAGAAGGTATATACTGTACAATCATATCATATGTGCCTTATGTCCACATGATAGCCGCACTCTGTCGTTTCTTCTCACCTTTTCTCCTTGGACTGTACCTCAAATCCAGCCCTCATTATTCTAATAATTTCTCTTTTCTTCATCCACCAATCTACTGCCTCCTATTGTCATCCCGTTATCAGTCGTCCCCCTGCTGTGGCTAACCCTACTGTCTGTCGCCCATCTGGGTTTCTATAAGAACAGACCATTACTGCTGAGTGCACGGGATGGCTCCACATTGATCTGGTTCCAGTCTTTATAGAGCTCGGTCCCCATGGAGAAGTATGGGCTACATCACCATTTTAAAGGAAAGGAGAAAATGACAGGAAACAAGAATAGAAAATGGACCATTTGTTGGAGATGAAGGCATTTAACTCCTGAATATAGTGATGGATTTATCTTTCCAATCGATATAAATGGTATTGATTTTGCCATTGTCCCCATAGTAAGTATATACATGTGTGTGTGGATATGTTTGAATGAGTGTGTGTGTGTGTGCATGGGAAGGTTTACAGCTCATGAACACAAAAGGGTGTATGGGACTTATAAAGATTTCACTACATTCAGAAAAACGACTCACCCCCAGTCGTAAAAGGACTCACAATGAAAGTTAGATCATGTGTAACACACGGTTGTGCAGTGCTTATACTTCAGAAACAGAGTACACTCCACAAACATATGCTGGAGGGAAAGCCACTGCAGTAGGTGCTCATGGGTATAAACACCGTGTGATGTGATCCAAACATTACACTCTGAAATTCCCAGACTGTAAACAACACAGTATGCCGGAGAAAGCGTGTGTGAATGTTTGTATTTCTATCTGTTCTGTGTGTTTTAATGCATGTTTAATGCTGAGTGGGACCTCCTTGTTAAGTGGCACAAGGACAGTCGAGTCTTACGTAGATTTGGTCGTTGCCAAAGCGCTTCTGCATCTCGTAGAGCAGACTGCTGTCGGTCAGCTCACTGAGGGAGGCCAGGTCGTCATTGGGAGCTGGAGGCATCAGCTTCACCTAAGGGAAATGCAAGGTGAAAATGTAAACCAACTAACATCAGCAGCTTGAGTATTTTAAATGAAACATTCAAAGTCCCAGAGAGTGATCTACAGTCATATTCAACTGTAGCCCACAGAGATGTAAACTCATTGTTCCAATCACACTCTGCACTGGTTTATTTCTTTACTTTCTTTTCTTTATCTACACTGCTCTTGGGTCTCAAATGCACACTATTGCAGCGATAGCACATTGTTTAACTACTACATACTTGATTACTTCTCAATTATCACTGCTGAGCTGAATCAAAACTGCAATTTGGCACAAAGCTGATATTTTTACGTAGCGCCGAAGCTTAAAAAGACAAGGTACCTGCTCCAGTTTGCTGGCACCGGAGCTAAAGGGGCCATCTAGGCCATTGTCCTGTGAGGGCTGTCGGCTCAGTGCTCCACCTGCCTCTCTGAACATGGCACACTTCTCCAGCAGACTGTCCCGCTTAGAGATAGAGAGACCCAGGGGGTTCCTGGCAAAGACAGAAGATGGAGGGAAAGGAAGCAGATTTGGGACAAAGGATGAGAGATAAATGGGGGGAAAAAAGCAGGGTTAACAATCCGTGAAATAACCGTAAGTTAACCACTGTGCCCATGAAACTGTTCACTCACAAGTTCTTGACAGGAGTGTTGAGGTCGTGTGAACCGCCATCATAGCGTTGGTCAGTGGAGGGTAGGGGGGCGGAGGGGTCCTTTAGTCTCTGCAGCCAGCTCTCCTCTGCATTCAGCAGCATGTCAGCTATGGGCTCTGACGCGGAAATATCTGGTGAGATGACACAAGACAGGCTCATCAATACAACAATTTGTTATGAAATGGGAACTTCACAGAAACAAGTTTAATTTGACATTGACAAGAACTTCAGAATGTTGGATTTGTCTGTGCAACTGGTGAGGACACATGCCTTTCTGCTCACATGTTCACCATACAAATGCTCCTTAAAAATCAATGTGGATGAGCCTGCTCTGATGCAGAATGTGAACCCCACTGTGGATCAATCCAACTGTGCTTAAGAGGAAGGGGGAAATAAGACCCCCCCCCTGTCTGTAATGAGGTCTAACAGGGCACGAGGGAGGGGAGCGGCTTCATCCTGTCTATTTATTTCTGTGTGACTGACAACCCCCTAGACTCCCATCTCTTTCTCCGGATCTCTTTCGTCACGTTGATGCTGAGGGATGGGTGTGGGGCTCCGAGTGAGAAAGAGGGGGATTGTCTCAGTCTCTCAGGGCTTGTCTCACATCTTTTCGAAGCCTACACCCGAGAAGAGGCTATTGATTAAGGCCGGAGTGAGGCATTCAGGGGTGTGATGAAGCCATGGGAGTAAATCGTTTGAGGCAGCAATGATATTCTAGGCCACAATGGATAGAAGCAAATAACCTTTATACGACACATTTCATCACCTTCACAGGAATGCACGCTTACATTTACCGCTACAGCATTCAGTGTCCTGTTAACACACACACACACATTTATGTTTCTAGCCAGTGTTCCTCTTCAAAATGCAATGCGTGCATCTGTAAGGCCCCAATGTGCTGAAAGTTGTACCAGCCTCGCCAGCTGGCAGGAATGTGTGCATGCCAGCAGAACACGAGATTAGGACTTATCAGCCTACACTAGCGACATCCCATGTGTGTCACCTCTATTACATGTACATACAGATTTTACTTGTAGGATTCATGTGATTTTAAAAACATCAGATTTTCCCACAGTGAATCAAAGCAGAAAACTGCATTAGTCAGCCCTCAGTTTCCATCTTCCTGCTCTTTATCAATTTTAGATAGTTTTGCAAAAGGAGCAAGACATTTCTCCATGGCAGTGTTGGAGATACAAATAAAATAGTTCAGGGTATGTTTAATATTTGTTCAGGTATTAGGGCAGGATGAAATACTGTACTGTTACAGTAAGACTATGCCTATTTTTTGAGATGGTAACAGTATCTACGCAGTTTAAATAATTAATCATCAATTAGATGTGAAGTGTAGAGCCTATCAGGCAATTCAGGATCCACATACATTATACCCCTTTTTGAATTTGTGTTGTCTTTAGTCAAATCTCCTCTGTTGATCCTGTAAGCTTTCATTATAAGAAAACCTTGCATTGATAATCCCCCTCGATAAAAATATGATACATTTATGCCCATTAGCAAATTAAGCATACAAGCCTCTTTCGATGTGTGTATGACAGGCTTCAGTAAGATGTTGGTGATTTCTTTAATTGATAAATGAGTTCTTGCAGATACAGATGAGCACAAATGAGCTTAGAAGAGACTGATGGTGGCGTAGCATCATTCACTGTGTGGTTGTGTGGTGTGTGGTGTGTGTGTGTGTGTGTGTGTGTGTGTGTGTGTGTGTGTGTGTGTGTGTGTGTGTGTGTGTGTGTGTGTGTGTGTGTGTGTGTGTGTGTGTGTGTGTGTGTGTGTGTGTGTGTGTGAATAAGTCAAAATCCATTTCTTGGCTTCCTAGCCTCATTAACTTTTGCTTGCTAAAACACATTTGCCCATTGCAACAGCAATAATTGTGCGTGTACACGAACATGTGTATATCTGTGTCCATGCCTCGATATGTTACCTGAGGGCTTGTCTTGGTTGCAGTTCAACAGAGTCGGGTTTGCTCTGTGCCTCAGGAGCTGGCTAACGATGCTTGTCTGTAAGAGATGGGAGAAACACCAACATCCATTTTCATTAGATCTGAGAAAAACAGAGCATTTCAAGGGCACTATTTTCTGCATCTACTTTCAAACCATCAGCACAAGGAGAAAACACATTTGACAGCGGATTTTATCTGGTTATAGAAGATGCAAATGTTATTCCCACATTTATTGCTACAGCACAGATGTATCAACTTCAAATGGAAGGAATGTATGTATGCATTTCTGTCTTTACATTTTCTCATCAACAGTTCATCCATTCAACTTCAAACTTCGCAGGTGTGTTGCTGAAGACGCAAGTGTAATGTTAAGTACAAGCTCTTGAGACCTATGGGACACATTCATTTATTATGTAAACAGTGTAGTGTGTTAAGAGAGATCATTTTGAACTGTTACACCACCAAACGGCATGCTGGGTACAGCTAGGTCTGCGTCGATGATCATGTGAGCTTTTGCACACAAATACTTTATCATGGCTGGTAGATGCAATTATGTCATGGCATGTGAAGGACCCAAAGAAATACAGTGTCGAGTGTGAAGTTATTTGGATGAGCGGTGATACTGGAGGCCAAGCAATGGGATGGTCTGAACAGACACTGCTGTATATGTAAATGTAGGATATACTATATGACAGACCTAGAATTTAAAACAGTGAGCAGATGGCACAAACAGTCAGAGTATGTCACACATGACAGGCTTATACAAGTGTCGCTCCTGACAGGAGAGATCCTTTAATAATGAGTGTATCTTCCAACACATATCACAGTTGAAGAACCCCATAGGCTTGCCTCATTTACACCATTATTACATGTGATGGCTGTCACCTCTGTCCTCTATTGTTCCTCTAGGATTTTCTTTTAGTCTTAGCTCACACATGCTCTCAGTCTCGCTGTCAGACATGTTCTCCTTCCCCTCTCATTACCTTCTCTCTGCCTGCCCCCCCCCCCCCCCCCCCTTTGACTCTGTGGAGATTCAACAGCATAGAATACAAGAATGGTGATGCTCTATGTGATCGGTCATACTGATTTGTATGGTCATTTAGGGAATACATTGAAATGAATTGTTTAAAAAATAAAACAGTGGATAATAATTAAACACAAGCAGCAACTTTACAAGCGCAAATTCTGGGAAAACAATCTGGGAAAATAATAAACCCCCTACTGTTCAGTTTTTATTACTTCACTCGGTTGCAATAAAACACACACTGAGGAAGCACTGAAAGACTGAGGATGTTCCATTGAGGTTGTATATCAGAACAAACACATACACACAATCCACTTCTCTGAACTTAACATGTGCATTGAGTACGATAAACAGAAAGTAACCATATTATTTAGTTTGAACCAAGTAAACTAAGCTGGCAGAACTAACCAAAAGCTATAATTATGGTTTCTCTGCGTTTTATTGCATTCAAAAGGATTAGCAGATGCTTCAGTAAAATACTGCTTTCAAATTCAACATTGTAAAACCATAAAGGGGACTTCACTCGCATAAAGAACATTTTATAAAACATGGGCAGTATTAACCACAAAATAAATAAATAAACAAATTCCCTCTGTGGCTCTGGTGGAGTATTACAAAACAGGAGAACTTCTTTGTACCATAGCAGAGTAAATCGACTGCAGTGCAGAAGAGAATGACTCAGCACATTCAGCAGAGTGACCCACGTCGACAGCTGTTTAGTTCTACTGAGTCTACAGCATCTGTAGTGCCCACAAACTGTCAGCTGCACTCACACCCTATAAATACTGAGCACACGTCAGTGGCACCACAAGATCTGAACTCTCTAATGGGTCGGGAGGATCGGGAAAAGGTCATCACATTGAGATCAGCGGGGACGGAGCAAACTCAGAGTGGATGTAGATTTAAAAAGACAGAGCCATTTTTGGCTTGAGCCCAAATACTCTTTTAATAATTTTTGTCAGAGCTGAAAATAAATCTTGAGCTTAAGGTACTTTTGAAATGTACACAGATTCAGGGAGTCTGCTTTATTTCCCTAGGTTTCACATGTACCTCATTATAAAACTGAAAGGACTAATCCTATCCCAGTAGGGCTGTATTTAAACATCCTGTCATTTTTGTTAAAGAATCCACTCACAAAACTATTTAAAATCTTTTCCTCATGAGAACACATCTTGAAAAGCCTCGACTCACACCGAGGGCGCCAAGCGAGGGTCCAACTTATCACAAGACCGGGAGAAGGAAGCTTAATTAACTGCAGTAATAGGGTCATGTATCTTCTTAAAGGGTGAGTGTAGTACGTACGGCACATTGCAGAAGGGGGTCTTTGGGTTTAACATACCAGCTAGTGTTACAGTTGCCAGCAAGTGTTTCCAGGCAACAGTCTGCATGTGCCTCATATCAGCAAAACTCTTCTTGGGTTCTAGTTTGCTGCATATATACACACATCTTAAACCCGCACTGTCCTACATTACTGACGTGTCACTGTCAGTATAAGGGAACGGTGACAGGAAGTGAGAGTTAAGAAGGCCCAGGGAGTCTTTGGTATGCATGAGGCAGAGCACTGGCACCAGTAAAGAGCCGATGGCTGAGGTGATTTAGCACTGTAAGGGCAGCCAATCGATTCTGCAATCCTCTAGACTGCCACTCTTCAGTCAGATGCACTTACATATTACTCACACTCACACAGAGTAATTGAGTATGCAGAAAGTCTCAAAACAAAGACACAAGGAGGTTATAAGTCCATTTAGAAGATTGTACATCTACTGTATATCGACTGAATACTGATTATTTTTTCATCCAACAAATGGATGAAGGATTGTGCGAGAGGAATAAAAAAGGAAGCAGAACTGCATGAATGAAACCGAAAAAAGCAGCGAGCTAACAGAGTAGCAAGAATTTTCAAAACCCACTCTAGTAGGAGAAAAGAAACATGGCTTCGGGGTAGATGAACCAAAGAACTAGAGTGCGACTCTTAATACCACCAACTGAATGAATTCTCTTTGTCAGCAGCCACAGCACACAGCCCAGAAATGTAATTAAATATACAGTTGGGTCAGCAAGATGTGAATGTGATCACTTCCTCTCCTTCATAGTTGGAACCCTTCCAAACCTCCAGATCTCATTGCTCCAAAAGCTCTCCTCCGCCCCGTCTAGAAATCAATCTCCTTTCCACTAAGAGAGACCATTAAACTGCTAATATAAAATGCTGTAACAAATGCATTTGCAGTGCTGCTCTGTGCCAGCAGTTTGACTGTTTCTGATCAATAGGCCCAAAAAGAGAAGTTTATCAGAGTGTGTGCAGGGTAACCGGGGGCAACTGCCTCGGAGGAACAATCAATCCGTCAATAATCTCCTCGTTATTTCATTAATGACTTCATCACATCCGATCAATTCAGCTACAGGAGGTTAAATTAGGAAACTACTTCATTAAAAGCATTTTGACAATTTGTTGAGCAGCTGTGAGTTACCTTTCCATATTTAGCAGCCAGGTGAAGAGGGGTCCAGAAGTTGTTGTCAGCAGGATGAGGGTCCGCCCCGCTCTCCAACAACACAGAAACCACTTCTCTATAACCACTGGCGGTCGCTATGTGGATCTTCAGGGAGAGAGAGAGAGAGAGAAAGAAGGAATGATAAAGTTATGAGAGCAGAAAGTTGAAGCTTCAGTATCTAATAAAAAACAATAATCCAAAACCAGGGGAATAGACACACAATGGGGTCAACTCACACACACTGACACCATGTGACCTTACTCACCAGAGTGACCCCGTCATCATTGGGCTGGTTGATGCTTTCCCCCTTGGCTACAAGCTGTCTCACATCAGACAGCATTGTGCTTGGTCTCTGCATCTTCATTGCATGCATGGATGACACATCCACACCTAAAAACACAATAGAGACACATGTTAGAGTAAGTACTCTCATATCTTTGTGTTAAAGAGTCTATAGTCAGGGGACGTTTAGTGTCGCAACGGAAAGGCATTTCATTGGCTTCCAGCATAGCAACTGGGACCCAGTCAAACAGCTAGCTTGACTTCAAAGAAAATGTTCTGTTATGTGTCTTATCTATCTAACTCTAAACAAGAAGGCAATAATGCATATTTCCCAAACTGTCCAACACATCCTTTTAACCTCATTCACAGGTTCAAAGTTAGTTTACTGGCTTTCACAATATCTAGGGATGGGTTGCATTTAGGTAAAGGGGTCTGACACATTTTGCATATAAATATAACCCAGTTTTATGCAGAACTTTATTTTTCAACAGAATTTGCCTTCAGGATGACTTTATCTGATAGTGGTCATACAGGGTCAAACTGTATTACAACACAACTACAGAATCACATTTTAGGGAGGATGTTGGCTGTTTATGTAGCATCCGTGTGAACACATTCAAAACTGCATAACACACTTATCAAGCCTGGCGGATTAAAGGATGGCTATAAGTGATCCTTATGTTGATGACAAATCAATACAAATAAATCAGGAGGTTGATCAATACAGGGCTTCAGTCACTAATCTCACTGACACAAGGTCTATCCAAAAACTATGAAGATCAATGCACTGCCAACTAACCACATACACACACTGGATCAGACTTTGGTTGCGGTAATAGCAGGAATAGATTTTCAATCAATCTATAGTTTAGCCCCAGGGAACTAACTAATGGGACTTTTCAGAGTAGACTGGTTGGATTAGCTAATCAATGAGTTTGTCTTTGTAAACAAATGAGAGCCACTGGATGTGAAGCTTTTGAAGACATGCTCATGGAGACATTAACATAAGAAGAAAGTTCTTGTTCTATTCTGTGTCAATACATTGAGAAAAAACGGTGTCAACAAAAAGACAAACGACTTGAGCTAAGACAACAAGTAGGAAAACAACATTTCTACTTCTTGCTGGTGTGGAGACACATGTACAGTTTGTCTTTTTCCCACAAACACAGAAACTAAGTGGGAATGGAAACTGTAAAACCAAGTTGCTATAGCAACAGAACAGGGTGAGCCTATGCGTGTTTCATGGTGGCAAAGCCCAGTGTGATGGGGGGGGGGGGTATCATGGGAGCTGAAGCTAGGCAGGAGGGAGAGCACCATGGGGTTGGGCAGACAGAGGCAGAGAACAGTCTCAAAAAATGCAGTGCTTTGGGAGTCAGAAAGTGAGACTGGGTGTGTGGGTGTGGGTGTGTACAGTATGTGTGGTCGGAGCTTTGATGAGTTAGCTGTCTGCATTCAGAAGCTGGCATTTGTCATGTGAACTTGTGGCCAATGGCAGATGGATGAGGGGAGACCCTCCATCAGTGTCTATATCTGTTTCTGTCTAGCTTTGTCAGCATGATTCCTGTTCCCCTTTTTCTCTGTCTCTCTGTATTTCTCTGGCATTCTGCCCTGCCTCCCCCTCCGTCACCATCTCTGGTCCCAATACGTTTGTCCCTGTGTGCCTCCAACCTGCCTTTGCCTTTATCTCATGGATTCGCCTCTCCTGTGTTGACCTTCTACTTTCTCTGTGGGAGACAAGAGCCCCAATCGCAACCCACCATCATTACGCCTGTGGGTATACTTCACCTTCACACACAAACACACACACAAATCACCTCCTGGTTACCTGAGAGCATGACTTATCAGCTATTTAAATCATCCCTTGGCTTCCTCAATGAAATACTATTGCTATTTTTCTCTATTTGAAAGGGGGACGATAACATGCGTGGAACACAAAAACAAATAACAGTTGAGTTATACCATTTTCCTCCAGGTGTTTTCGGAGGATGTAGCTGGTCTCAGTTCCCTCGGATGCGTAGTCAAGAGGAATGTTTCCGTTGACATCCTGCAGCAGCACATTCACCCCGGACTTCAACGTGCAAGGCAGAAAAAAGGCAGAGAAGACACAAATAAACTGAGTGTTGGCCGGGGTCATTCATCAGACTCGAATCAATGATGAAGTGGGCACAATTATCTTGGCTTCCCAGAGGCGTATACCTGAGGAGAACCATGGAGACATTAACAAACAATACAGTGAATTAAAGAACTCATTAAAAAACGGCCCGGGGGGGGGGGGGTTGGGGCGGTGAAGAGCGAGGGTGCTGGTTACCGTTACCTGGTTCATCGGGGTGAGTGTGTGACATGATTAATGTGTATTTACTCAACAAGGACCCTGCCACAGTGTTTACTGTTATAGTATGAGATAACATGGTAGGCCTTCCCTCGGGCTGCTTTAATGACTGTTACTCTGACAACAGCACAGTCGTTTGTCACAATATGGCTATGATTGATTGCCTTTCTTTGGAGGAACTCAACTGCATTGTAAAAATGTTGCAATGCTTCACCAGTAGAGCAGAAATGTGTACAAGATATTCACAATGTACTCCTGGACTTACATTCTGTCCTTTTCACTTTTATCATCCCCTCTTGGGTTGGGGACTAGAAGTAACATACATCTTTTCAAGAGGCAATTGTCAGCATCCAGACATAAATTGCTTCTTGTTGTTTGACTTAAACATAAAAGACAAGCCAGTGTAACGATCGTAGCTGGACCAGGTCTGATAACAGGGACAGGGGACTCTAAGTGAGGATCCTTATTGAATATTTACAACTAATAGAATTCTAACGACCGAGTTGGAGCGTGGCAAAGAGATTTATGACCTGGTCCTCAAGCAGAAAGAGAGGGAAGGGTTGGGGACAGGAAAAAATGAGAAGAAAATGGCTGAAAATTCAAAGAAAGCCAACTGACAGAGCAACACAAGAGCTGTTAACCTTAGTGCTCTGAAAACAGAGCAGCAAAACCACAAGGACACTGAGCCTGAAACCCTCAGAGCAACCTTGCAATCTTTAATTGATATAAATAAGACGACTGCTGATTCTGCTAATTACAAAAAAGTTGTGCGGATATTCGGAGGAAAAAAATGTCATCCAAGAAATCCTGAGCACTTCAATAAAGGCAGCACAATGCAGTTGATTCCAGTTATCAGAGGATTTGTTCTGGTGAGCTTTGCAGTTTCATTGTGCACTGCACCCCTCTGTGTGGTCTACTGGGAGCTGTGTTCACTCAGTAATAAGGGTTAGTTAGGGGTTAACAAAGGGAATTAATTAACATAAAAAAATATCAGCTGCTGCTTCGTGACTACTCACAAACAAGAAAACCTTATCGCTCCGTGAAGCACAGCTTGAAGAGCAGGAGAGATGAGATGAGTGAGTCAGAGAGGGCAAATTATTATCACCCCCTCCACCCACCTCTACCCCCCCCCCCCCCACACACACACACACACCCCCCTACATTTTCCTTCGAATGACACATTTGACTGCTCAATCTATATTCCTTACATATGTGCCGAATCCACTTATTTATAAAACCTGACAGCTCTCTGGTAGCCTCTGTTAAAGGAGAGGTGTCATGCTTTTCCGGTTATTACCCGTCCCCTTGTGTGTTATGAAGGTTTTTATGCATGTAAACGGTGTGCAGAGTCAAAACCCTCAAAGTACACCCTGTAGCGAGTAAAACTCTAACACAGAAAATACCTCCCCAAAACGCCTCGTTGGAGATACGTCATTGTCCATTGTTTACTTCCTGGGTATCGCTACGTAGGGATACCCAGAAGCCACACCCAGAGCTATGACGCGATACGGTCATGCGGTACCCGGAACCAAATGGACCAATCCGTGGAGCCGTTACGTTAAGCCCCCGCTGATTGGTCCAAATTGACCAATCCACGGACTTCCTCACACACAGGCAGCTCAGCTGATTTCTCCTCCCTGGCTGCAGGCTGATAACAGACTGATAACAGACAGTTGGGATCGCGGCGAAATTCTCTCTGCAGACCCATTCTCACAGCGTTTATCAACCTTTTTCTTACTCAATATCAAGCCACACTTATTGTTTTTACTTCGGCTGTGAGTTTGTGTGTGCTCAGGATGAGTTTGGCTGTGTTTCGCTGTGTATCGCTAAACAAGGAAACAACACCTCCACGGAGCTCAGCGCGATTCACAACGTCCCGACCAATCAGAGCACACTGGGCTCACAGGGAGGGTGGGGGCTGGAGCTTTTGGAGCTACAACGAGCCGTTAAAGGCAGAGAGTGAAATTCAGTGAATACAAGTAGTTTACAGAGATGCTGTATGAGAAACCAATGTGAGTTTGGAAAATTGCACAGTATAAATCTATTCTAGTATACCTCAACAATGGAATTATGATCAGTGGAAATGGCCATGACACCTCTCCTTTAACATCTTCATATAAAGTCTATGGTCAAAATGTGTTATTGTGTGTGGGGGTGTGTGTGTGTGTGTGTATGTGTATGTGTATGTGTATGTGTATGTGTGTGTGTGTGTGTGTGTGTGTGATGCACAGTGGTTAGTAAAGGGGTGCACTAACCCAGACAATTCACTTCAAGGTTCAGTAAAAGTCAATAGGGGTCTGGCTATATAAAGCTATCAGCTGACAGAAAGACATGTATATCCCTTTCGGTCAGACATAGCGCAGAGAGAGAACATTTGTTGTTACATTTTTGTTACCAGTACCTTTAAAGCAATGCCAATACCAACAGATTACTCCTTTTGATACATTTTCTTTAACTTCATTCTATAACCATCATTAGAATAGAAGAATGTAGGCACGTTACATGCCAATTATTTTTGCTCTGTGAAATACACCACACTTGACTTTACCACACCACACACTTTTAGGGTTGTAGCTGCTGCATTAGAAGGTCAATCACTGGTTGCGTTAATCAATGAACACTTGGGGTGACTGGCTGTGAGCAAAGCTATACAAAAAGTCATTGTATTTTCAAAATCTAGGAAAAAAATAAACATCAAATGCATGTATTATAACTGGGGACATACAAAGTGAAAATGCTATACTTGCTTTCCTAAGCCTACAGTAGTTTTACACACTTTGATAACAATAACAATCAGTCACAACAGAAACAAATATTCTGAATTTCCTTTTATGTCCAAGACAAGCAGATTATGGTGAAGTAAGTGTGATGTGTGGGCCATTGATACAGACACATTAATAATGTGTCTGAGCTCACATGATATGAACTGACAGGTATAAACGAGTCGGTGCTGTCTGGCCTCACAGGCTGCGAGGGGTTAACAAGTTGACTTCTGACCCCGACACGCTCCTTGACACATTTTGATAAATCCACCCCGGCTGTGGCAGAAATGGAAATCTGTTTATATTACGCTGTCCGTGGTTCATAATGGCAGTTGTTAGGTGCAGTGACTGTTACAGAATCAATAACAACGAGCAGATATGCACTGAAAGCTTTCCCAGGGGGAGTCACACTGTCACAGCCCGGTGGAGAGCATCCGACGCAGGGATACACTCTATCCATACACACTATTATTAGACTCTCCTATCTAAAATCACATGTTTAACAAGGTTTTTAAATAAACCCAAAGCTTTCTCTGATTAAAAACTAACAAACCAATATTTTTCACAAAAATGTATTCCAGTGTCGAGGAAACTTCAAACATGATTATCAAAGAGCTGCGACAAATACATGTATCAGAAGCAATTGAGGATTGTCAACATCATTTCAGCTGTGGCCTGCCACACTGCAGTTTTTAAATGTGTTTTTAAAAACTGTAATGATCACACTTTTTTCTAAATCACCACATGGCATGTGTCAGTGCTTTCTGTTGTGATTGCACATTGACTTGATGAGGAATCTAATGCAAGGATAACACAACCTACTGTCATGTTAACAAACATAAAACTGAGGACAAATCTTCACAACAACATTAAATATTTCCTCAAATGTTTTAAGATAAATACATTTATTTCAATATATCTAACCAAGAGTCGGTTGAAAAAGTATTTATTTGAATTGAAATATAAGCACAAATACTTAGAAATCCAAAAAATGTTTTAGACTTCAAAGTTCTGGGACTACAATTAAAGCAGATTACAGAGCAAAGAGAATAGTGGTGTGCAACAATTGCTTAATGAACTCATGTTCGGAGGAGGGAGGGCTGCATTATCAACAAGAAATCTACCAAATTCAACTGGTGGGATGTGGAGTTCGGTGCAGCCGGGGGCTTACTGTTAATAATTTGACTTCAAAGGACTCAGAGTTCAGGAGTTTTAAATTCATAATTTACAAGCCATGAAAGTGGGTCACTTCTACAACTGTAACCCCGTTGGGTCTTTAGCAGTGCGATGAGAAATAACATTTGGAGAAGAACCTGTCTCCCAGGGATCAAATGATTGCTACATCTGGCTTAAGTCTGGGGACTGAATTTGAGTATCAGAGAAGATATGACAAAGAGGAGGACAAAGAGAATTGTTATGAATAAAAACAAAAAATCATCAGTTGAAGTGGTAAACAGTTTCAGAGACTCATTATTATGCTCTCCAAGAGTCCATATCTTCAACACTGTGTAGTTCCTCTCAAGGAGACACTTCAATCAGAATTAGGGCCAGTCTGTGATTAGGTCTAATCACTTACCAAATCTTTTCAGTTCAGCGTTTCACAAGATAGCACATGAGGAATTTAAAGGTCAGCTAAAATGTAGCACATGGAGATTGTGAGGCGCTGTTGATGCTTCCTAATGCCAAGTCCTACTACATTGAAATCTTTATGAAAATGTAAAGGTCTATCGGGTTTTGTTAGTTAATCACACAGTATTCCCCATTGAATATTACACTAACAATGTCATATTTGAGTGGAATCAGTCATAAAGCCTACACACCCTGTCATGTTTTCTATTCTGAACAGTCAGTTCATCCTGGCAGGTTCTCAATGACCAACAATTTAACAGAGCTGGAGCTCGGAGTAGCTTTAGGAGTGTATTTAGAAATGGAGTGGGAATGAGACAGTTTAGAAATGGCTTACTTCCTCCCCTGCTGTTTGGAGGCAGGAGATAAGAGAATTAACATTTCTGCCAATCCGGACGCTGTGCCACAATGACTTCTAATCAACCTCTCCTCCTTTACTCACGAGAAAAGCTTGGTAACATCTCAGTCAGCAAAAAAAAACTCCCTGGAACTGGAGACAGGAAATCAAGGACATAGGCAGAGGACGAGGGGAGGGAAGCGCAGGAAGAGATGGAGGAGGAGGACACAACAGATTAGTACATATTGCCAATCAAAGATAAAGCTGCCAGTCAAGCTCCTCTGGCGAGACCACAATTCCACTTCCCATTAAAAAAGAAACCTGTTATATTCAGAGGGAAGATCCCACACTTACAATTCTGATAAGGCTGCAGCTTGAGTACAAAATGAATGACTGAGCACTGGCACGGTTCGCGGAGAAGATGGTTGTCAAAATGAATAGATAGAAGAAAAGGGATACTGCATCTCTATCGGAAATATTGCTTGACTGAAGCTATTTTTACCGTTAGACAGGAAGAGCATTGGGGTTTCCTGCCGATGGTACCAGGAAAGAAACTCAAGGGCTTATCTTACCCTAAAGGGACACAAATAAGTCGATCATATTGTGCATCCTTATGGAAAATGTATACTTTTATACATTTCTTACTTGGCTAGTCCACTCAAAACCGCAGAGACACGCACAAGGGCATATTCACATGAACACAGTCAAATAGCTGTGAAAGCTGAAGATATGTTTTGGTGTTGCTTGGAAAATGTTTGAACTTTTCACAGTGTTAAATCTGATTTCCTATTTTTCTTACAGATTTTCTAACCCTTTTTTCTTCACCGCCTGCTCTCTTCCAACAGTAAATAACTATGACCTCATTTATAAGGAACTGGTTCTGACTTGGTAGTGTATGGGAGACATTTCGATACTGCCTCCAAGGCACCAGAATGAAATCTCTCTCCCTCTCACCCGTGGTATTGCGTATCATGAAAGCATAACTCACTGCATAAATTGCATTTGGCGTATCTATAGCACAGCCTCCTTTACAAGCTAGGCCGCCTGCATGAGTCTTTGCTTTGAAGGAAATGAAATACATGCAAATACACAAACATACACATGAAGCAGCAGTCATACAGACTGACAGATACACTTTGCGCTGGCAGATCTTCAAACATCCATTCCTCTCAGGGACGTCTCCTTCCTGCCCCGCAGACAAACAGCTAGCAATCACTCAGGACCCAATCAGCAGAACCAGCCTGTACTGGATACAGTGAACCCTCCCTGGGTCTAATCAGCACCAGCAGAACAGAACCAGCCCACTGAGTGACTCGGCTGGAGGTGCACCCCCTCCCCTGCAGCTGGCCCCGCTCTCGTCATGGACCTAATCAGTACGACTGCAGCTCCGTCAAGACAGACCCGACAGGAGCTGGGAACATCCTCCGCAGAGCAGGCTCTCCCTTTGATATCATGCTAATGCCCACATAATAAATGTTCTCATCTTATTCAGCTGGGTTTTGTGGGAGAATAGAAAGTCGTGTTTCAGACCCTCAGTAATCCAAAAGGCTCAACTTGAAAAGACATTTCTAGTTGACTAATGTAAACACGGCCAATGGCTCGGAGCTGATTCTAAACGTGGAGCTAGTATGTCGACACTTTCCGAAAACACTGATCTAATTTGTAGTGGAGACGCTTGGAATAGCGAGAAAATAACTTAATTACAAAATGTGTGTCCATTGATGCATGCAAATGGCTGTTATTCGCCCAATATACCAGGTGTTCATGTTTGCATGTGTGTGTCTTACCAGCAGCAGGAGCAGCACCACGTCTGCATGGTCGCACACACACGCCACGTGCAGGGCGGTCCACAGGTCTTCGTCCTGCAGGTTCACGTTCAGGCCTCGCTCAATCAGAACTTCTGCCGCAAACACGTTGTCATGGCGAGCACACTGCAGGATGAAAGCACAGCGGATGGCATTATAATTACTTTTCAAATATGTACATTTCCTGAAGCACTGCTAACAATAAACAGTGCACATGAGTGGTTCACTGCATAATAATGTGAAAAATGTATTGTACAACAATTTTAACAACTTCACACTTGTATTGCTACAGGGGTAAAATGCTAAGTGATAAAAGGCATGGAGAACAGTTATTGGGACTTAAAAACAGCCACCATTTTTGCTGCAACATTTTTTAATTAATGCATGTTTTCTAGTTTTACAATTATTAAAAAGAATATGTCATAAATCACTTTGAAAGAATAAAAAATAATAATTAGGAGGTAGAGTTGACCTATATGATATACATAGCAGGGGGAAAGAAAAGCATCTCCTGTGTAATACAAATAAAGGTATATTGTAATTAAAGTATGATTTATTAGGCATTTAAATAACTATATCACACTATTTATTAATATCTCAAAACAAAGTAAACATTTCTTGTAAAAAGATTTTTTTTTTTTTTTAATATGACTTAATCTTGACAGGGGGTGATAATAATACAATTGACTTGATTAGCTGTAATTGCATGAAAAGTGCACAAAACTGTAATTTTTTGTCTGTATTTGTTTTGGTGCGTGTTACCAGGTGTAGCAAAGATCCGCCGGAAGAAATGGGAGTGTTGGGGTCCGCTCCCTCCTTCAGGAGACGCAACACTGTAACACAACAAACATCCATGTGTTAACACTTCCTGTATGTGAAGACAGAGAGGGCGCTTAGGGCATATAGTGAAGACACATGAAGCCTAACACACTTACACACACACGCACTAATCACTGCCACTCTATCAGAACCAATGTGCATTGCGTGTCCTCTGACTGTCCACGACGTGTCAGTGTGGATCAGTGTTAGGGGTGTGTGTGTTTGGTAGCTCCTTGTCCCAGCAGCAGGTCAGAAAGCCTCTAGGTTACAAAGCCTCACGTCACACAGTGTAAGCTCCAGTGAGCAGCAACCCACTCACACACTGACACAGATCTACTGAGGGAAACACAGATCACTGCAAACAAGTTCACGCAGTCAGCCATAAAAGATGAAAAAAAGTAGTAGTAGGCTGAACAAGGTTGCAGCGATTTCACTATACCACTGATATATTATTTATGTCATGTACCAAAAGGGAACGAGAAGACAGCAGGGCAGAGAGGACAGAGAGCAGGAGAGAGGGAGAGAGAGAGAGAGAGAGAGAGAGAGAGAGAGAGAGAGAGAGAGAGAACTGGAGTGTGTGACAGATAAATAGAGCAGGATGGACAAACAAGAGGAGGCTAGGAGAGAGGGGGTTTGGACATATGTGATTTTACTGACACTGACAGCACTAGATTTATTTTTTTATACTTGTCATTACACAGTGGGCCTACTTACTATGTAACAAAATGGTTTCTCTGCATTTGACCCATCCTAGTGTTAGGAGCAGTGGGCTGCCATTATGAACGGCGCATTGCTCAGGGACACCTCTGTAGCACTTGGTCTTGCCGGGACTTGAACTGGTGACCTTCCAGTTGCCAAGTCCCTGACACACACACACACACACACACACACACACACACACACACACACACACACACACACACACACACACACACACACACACACACACACACACACCACACACACACACACACACACACACACACCACACACACAACACACACACCACACACACACACACACACACACACACACACACCACACACACACACACACACACACACACACACACACACACACACACACACACACACACACACACACACACACACACACACACACACACACACACACACACACACACACACACACACACACACACACACACACACACACACACACACACACACACACACACACACACACCTTTAAGCTGGAAACTACCGGCTGAAGACAGAAACCACGGTAATTACGGTGGTGATAATTCTAGCTAATGAAGCCTGTTGATGACCCCCATGAGGTCATTTTAATTAAAGGGTCATTATGTAGAGTGGAGTACAGCTTCGTGACCACAGAGCGTGTGAACGTTGTGATCAGCTGTTTTAGCGCAGCGCTGCTGTACAGACCGACGTTACCAGCAGCCCTGTCTCTGTCGTCCGGTGATCTAACCGCCTTCTGGAAAAGCTTCACAAGTACGTCGGTACGCAAATATGCTTTGTGACACAAGTGACCCCTGATTATAATGATGACGCAAAAAATAAAGAACTTTATTATGGCCTCACAAACGATTATACGTCTGATTTAACACACTCTACTTGACACAGTCTCGATGATTACTGAACATGTACCGGTCTATGACTTGCTAACCTCATTACCAAGATACAGCTGTTACACTCTCTTCTCCCCTCAGATCAAATACCAAACTCTCTGCTTCTGTCTGAACCTACAACATGTTTAATCATTGCTGCAAGCATGAACACAATGTAAGTAAAACAATTGAAGTATTTATCAACAGCTTTGCAAAAAACCCTCCTTATCAAATCTGAAAGAAACTGTCTTTAAAGTCGTTGGTTAAACATACAATTCAATGGCACCACAAAGTATAAAGGCGTGTATCTGTGTGCATAAACATATAGGTTAACCTCCGTCATTTGTATATTTCATAAACACAGATGACCATGTTCAGTGTGTCATGCCTTTACCCACCCACCGCCAGACCCCATACATACTCACTTACAATATATAACACATTAAGTCTGTAAAAAATATCAGTATAGATATGTAATAAAAATAACTGCAACCCTACTTATTAAATCTGCCACAGTTTGAGAAACATCCATGTTTTGAAAGAATAACATTTACAAAGATGTAATTAAGCAAATTAATTAAATTTTGAACCATTGAGAGATTACTTTAGCATTTATCCATTATCAATGCTGTCATCAGCTCACTTATCAGTTAAGATACTAAGCATATGTACACATACCGAACACATACTGTGCACAGGCATGTTCCCACTCTTCTAATAGCCACCAGTGCTTAATGGCCTTTAAACGGTTGCTGAGAAACAAACTGGCCAACCTTTTAAGTCAATCAGAACAATTATCTCCCGTCTCCTCAACATACTGTAGGGCACCGACCGTAAACCCCCAATTATGGCTCATCAAGCACTAAAGTCGTCACCAGGGAATAGATAATGCTCTTGCTTTCCTGTCGATCAAACGGTATATTACAGGGCTGCTCATGGCTAATGTGGAGCAGTCATTTTTAAGCATGCATTTTAGAGAATGATTTATTTATAAAAAATAGAATAACTTCCATAGTAAGGATCGCTCTGGTCTGACAACTTCCCAATTTTTAGAGCCAGTTAGTATTGGTCATTGATGCGTGGATCTACCAGAGTTTTATGGCATTGGATTTGTCTAAATAAAGGTGAAAGGTCAATAGATACAGCAATAAGCAAAGCATTTGTCTGGCGGCGATATGGCCATTAGAGATCAATAGCACGGTTGTACCATTGGCAGATTTTTCAAAATCAACCTAGATTGTAGTCTTTTTGTAAAACCCAGGGATCAACTGTGTCTATTTGCTTTTTGCATTAGTGATATTGACAGCATTATTAGGTAAACATGTCAATCATTCGTTTGAAAGCAGTGTAACTAAAAAAGTAGGATCACATATTGTTTCCTGTGTATTCAGTAGTCTATATGAACATTTCAACAGGTTTCACTCAATGTAATCATTCACCCTTTTCGTTTTGGCCATCAGTGGATCCCTGGGTTCTTCCATTCTAAAATATTGATTATAAAATCCCCCGGCCTGGGATTTTACCCACAGAGGGAAGAAGCCATGTGTCGAGTCGATAAGAGAATGGATACAAATGACTGCTTGTCCCAAGGCTCAGATGCTGCTGTAAATGGCAACCAATCTGATTGGTTTAAGGTCAATTCCAGCTGTGCTAATAAATACTGCAGGCTACTTTGACATTACTGTAGTTAGAGATGTGTTATTATTCATACAACATCCTATTATCTAGTGATTTAACTAGAAAAAGTTAATCTACCAAGAAAGTCGAGAGGAAATGATCTACTTAGGAGCATCTTAAGAGTGTTTTAGGCGTTGTAGTTTAAAGAGAAAATAAACACTTGTCACCATAGAGATGAATATCTTTAGATAACTGTATTATGCACGCACCAAAGCAACAACAGTAGTTTTATCTCTATGTTAAACTTCTATATGTAGCTGTGAGTTTCGGAGTGTGTTTGTGTGTTTTCTGTGTGTTAGTTACCCCTTTATTAGGAGGCTACTGATAGGGGAATGGAGAGTGGGTTTAGAAGCAAAGTCGGCTGTCATTTTGTGGAAAATTGCAAAACAGCTGTTCGAGAAGTATGTGGAGTTTCCATGGAAACCAGATAGGAACCGGTAGCAGAGTGGAAAAGAGAGAGAGAGGGGGGAGAGAGGTTGAGAGAGCAACCTAAATAATGTGAGGATTGATCGACATGCATCAGGGACTACAGGCAAAGTGTAGCTAACACCAGGTACAGGGAGATATTACAGCTCTGACTCCTGACCACTCACCTGCTCATCATTCAGACTGACAGACGTTTTGTCCTCTAACCGTCTTTGTACGATACCTGAATACATTATTTCTAGCTTATACTGAAAATTGCACACCTTTGACAGGTAACACAATACATTATCTTTTCTCCTCCTCTGAAACGTTTTTTTAGTTAAGACATATTCTCATAAACCTGCACAGAAAGCCATGTAAGTGATAATAATATTATTTATTGCAGATCTTGAACTTGTTGAAGTAGATATATTGCACATTTATATTGATGTATGCTCTGTAGATACAGTAGAATATTGAATGTACTTTTCTTCAGCCTCTCTTTTTATTATTTGGCTCCTCTAAATCCTACTGGGCCGTGACACTCCATGAATGTAATAAAGTCCCTGTAATGCATCCTCCATAATATGCCACTCACAGAAATATTGCCAATTTTCTCATATAGCGACCAGACATATTCTCCCATCATTCCTTGCAGCCATGTATGAGATTCTGTCCAAATCCCTCAGTCTTATAAATGCTGCTGTCTCTCCGGTCCTTATCACACAGTCATACTCACGAGTAGCTCTGTCTCACCTCACTGCCCCATGTTTCTGAAATGAGCTTCACATGCTTCCATTGTCTCGGTCATGATGACAAAAAGGCACTTGTACAGTTTTCCAATAAAGCTTGACTCTGAATGCAGATTACCGTATGAGGAGTTCTGTGAAATGGAACAGGGGTCTCCTGCCCACTTGTTGAGATATGAAATGATTTTATGGATGACATTGATAAAACATTCACAGTAAACACAGTGAATTTGTTTCAACCCCTAAATACTATGTGCTGACCATATTGGGGAAAGGAGTGTCATTACACATTCTTCCCACTTGGTTTAATCCAAATACTCAAACATAGAAGGAAGACGTCTACATTTATTTTTAATGAGCTTTGTGAGAAGATTATTTAATAAAGTACTTTTATGTTTCATGCTGGCTTCGATCCTTTGCAAACTGTTATATAAAAAGGTTCAGCGATGAGTCATCAAGTGAACCAGAAATGTAATTTTAGAAGCTCAGAGAAACACTAGGCTGTGCCGGTGTGAATGTTCAATATGCTGCAGGAGGCTGCAGTTGGCACTAAAGGGATCCCTGCTGTATCAGACTGAGAGTTTTAAGGTTTCAATTGGATTTCAGTTAAAGCTATCATGACTTATTTCTCTAACACCTCTGTGGGCCTAGACCCAGTTCTGTCAAAACCACAACACTGTTGACATGGCTTCAATCACTCAATTGTAGAAACATATCAATGTTGTCCTCTAACATCCATATTATAGGTCTCTCCACTTCCCTGTCTGGTTGGTGTTTTTCTGAGACTATATACATATATTTTCATAATCTTACATTTCTCACATTAACAATTTGACATGTTTTCTCCACATGACACCTGAGTGTTTAATCTATTAATCTGACTAATAATAAACTACAAGCTAAATATCTGGAGTTTCATATCACAGTAGAAACATCCCGACCACTCCGAGTGGTACATTTTTAACTTCATCCATGATACTCTCTAGCACAGTAAGCACACTTACAAGGTGTTTACCCGAGAATATAGGACACACAAACTATAACAAAGTGCAGAGAAATACAGTTTAGCATATACCTGCGTACACAACCCTGACAGGTTGTGATTAATACAATTTGATTGTGTAATAAATTGGATCAATTGTGAGCATTAGGGGAACCTTTACCAGGTATTTAGGAGTGATTTAATAGAGCAAATCCCTATTTTAACTTTCCATGAAAAGTGTCTGCTCCATTTGTGAAGAAGCTTTGCTGCACTAATGTGGGGGTGGTGAGTGCATTAACACTAATGGCTGAACAATACATACTGTATATAACACTAGACATGGTGCACATGTTCTTATTTTAGCCGTGCTGTGATTCAGTTTTATGAATTGTGTCTAAGGCAAAGCTTCAAAACACCACTCAAATCTGGAAGCTATTACCTATGACTATTACCTCTGCTGGCTTCACTTCCCCGCTATGGAGAACTGATTGCAGTCCGAGTCCCTGCGCTGTGCCTGAAGGACTGGATCTATACTCTGATCAATAACGGTAGAGCTCCCGGATGCTTTAGAGTCGAATTGCATGTGTGTCTAAAAGAAAACCGGCACATGCACACACATGCATGAAACCAAACAAATATAGTAATGTCAGAGGATTTAACAAATATGTTTACCCATAGAAAATGTGATAAATATATTAGTAAGAATGGGGCTGTTTGACAAAAGAACAATTAGCTATCAACATGGGTTGTTGTCTAACCTGTAAAGTTTTTACAAGATGGGTTTTCAAACCATACATGTGTCATTCCAAGTACATGTGTCCCAGATGATGTGATACTACAGTCCACTCAGACTCTTACTAAATTGTCCTCAGAAATGTAACTGAATTGCTTAAGTGTTTGCAAATCAACTTTTCTCACATTGTGTTTTGCCAGGACTGGTCACCACGAGTACAACAGACATCCAAATGTCATATTTAATATCATTATTTAGTTGAAAGGGGAAGACATAATACAAATATATTGTAAGTTACATGCCTACAAGCCAACAGCTGCTCCCGTTCCACTTGTGTCTTTCTTTCATGAAGTTAAGAGATTGGTTTGGGAAAAGCAATTTCCCCAAATGTCAAACGCAAGTGAGCCAGATGTTTACATAGGACAGATGTGAATGGAGAAAGGAAATTAGGTATACAGTATTGCTCCTATAGTATTGGGCTGTGTGGTCCAGGTAGTTATTTTACCCCTTACCGTTCAATATCCTTCCTAACTTAACGCTTCTGTTTTTGCTGCTTTTACATGTCTTTGTCTTTGCAATTTTTCCTTTTACCTTTGTGGTCAACCTTGCCTTTGTTCTCCATCCTGCCACTATCTCATTCATCTTATTTCCTGTAAAATACGACCGATAAGAAATACATCCTTGTGTGACTGTGTGTGAGAGATCTCTGATTACCTGCTGCCTTGTCAGCAGACTGAGTTTCTGCACATTTTCTAAACCCAGCTCACTGAAAACAGGTTTTAATTAAAACGTTCACCCGATTGCTTTCCCTTCTTTTTACCTCTCCTTTTATTTCTCCCGGTCTTATTTAATTTGAAAAACAATGATTAGTTGCCAAAACCATCTTTTCATCCATTGTTTCATTATTTTCCACAAGCTGGGGAACACAGGGCTGAGAATTGAAAACTAATCAAATTAAGAAGTGTTCAGTTCATTCAAGATGACAGCAATGATATCAGTTAACACATCGTTCATTCCTTTGTTGGCTCCATACGATGAGTCCATTAGTCTCGCACTCCACACTTAATCCTTCCTCTCATGAATCCCTTTAACGATAATGCGGAAAGCATAAAATAATTAAGAAATTGCAATATTTTTCTGGTATCATCTGATACAGATACGATGATCAATCTGCATCACAAAGAGTTAAAAGTTCTGCTTTCTAGGCAAGACACGAGTGGATCTTGGCATTGTCAAGTAAGTAAGAATACAAATCTCTTCAGTTTTTACCTCTACCAACCAGATTAACACCTTTGGACTGCCACATTACTCTGGGGAAAGTACAAGTTTAGGAAAAACCCCATCACTGTGTACAAAAAAGAAAAAGGGAGAACCAACTTAAAGGGGACCTATCATGCAAAATGCACTTTTGTACGTCTTTTATACATGAATATGTGTCCCCGGTGTTCCAGGGAACTCACCAAGTGTCAGAAAACACAACCCTCTCTATTTTCCTCCATACCCAAATCTCTAAAAAAGGGGCTGCAACGGATCTGATACAGACTGATCCAGATTTGAACACTTCTATGTCGTCACAGAAGTGGCGCTACGGCTATTGGGCCAACTCTCCACCTATCAGGGGAATGTGAGGTTGGGCCACGGCCGGCCATTGCCGCTCGAAAGCGCTGGAGACGCTGTAGTACATATGCCAGGCCTGTAAGTGGCGCTGTAGTCTGCCACAAAAGCAGCGAAGAAGACTTCCCGCCCATAGTTACCATGGTTACCCTTCTGTTTATTCTCCGCTGTGGCTTTCTTTCTCCCTCCCCGAGGCAAGCGTTTGCTCCCGCTGCTTTAATTCAATGCAATCCCTCCCCGTCGAGGCAAGCACTGTAATTCTCTCCGGTTAGTCCACCAGCAGATGACAAACACCCACCTCTCCACCTCTTCCAAGGAACGAGGGGACCGTGCGGCAGAGTTTCAGTTTCAGTTTCTTTCGCCGGTCAAGATGTCCGTTAAAGTTTAAATCTTCCGGACAAAATTAGAAAAGTGCCGGTCAAAGGTCTTCTTTGTTATTTATTGAGCTTTAAAACAAATGAACAACGATCTTTTTTTCTCCCCCTCTTGACTTGATCAGAGCACGGCTCTCCTCTCCTGCAGGGGGGCGTGGTCAGCTGCAGCTCACAGAGATCAGCCCCGTAGACAGCAAACAGCACATAGAGCGAAATGAGGCATAGCTAAAATGCATGATCTGTTTGGTATTTTGAAAACAGAAACGTATAAATATACCTTATATAGGTATGGCCCTACAATATATCATTTAAATATAGCATGATGGGTCCACTTTAAGCAGCACAGTATGAAAAAGTGAGTTGTCATCAAATGAAGTCAAGTGAGGAACGCTCGAGAACTATTGTCAAGATATTGATAGTACTGATCCACCCAAACAAGTGTTAACTCAGAAAGAGACACTGCAAGAACAAGGCAGGCCAACACAGGGTAACATAAATGAAATACAAAACGTTCAAGTGACCCTCATACTCAACAAGTCTGATAAAGTGAAATCTATCACGCAGACAGAGATGTATCAGATCTGATTCATGCCAAGCCAAGGAACCCTGTTTTCTGTCTGGCTGAACCACCAGCTGCTTCCTCAGACCCCATCTGAACCTAATTGGCAGCCAGAGAGCAGAGATTAACACAGTGACCTGCAAAGGCTGCTGGTAGGAGTGACACAGATACACCCGGACAGCTGGGTAAACGACTGGCAAATGACTGGCATAGTCAAAAGAAAAGACAGTGAGGTTAGACAAAAAAATCAATGTCCTTTTGAGTGTGACGACCTCTTAAAGTTTATGAGTATCCGATCTCACAAAACGAGCCTGAGTACTTGAGTGTGTCATTACTGGGAGACAAGCAGGCAGGAGTGCTGCTGCAGAGGGGAGATATGCTCTATTATGCACCTAAGGAAAGCTCTTTTTTTTGCCGAATTAGCAGCAGATAAATCTGAATCGATCTCAATGTCATCTGCGTTCCTAGAAGACAAAATCATTCACGTACAGCCAGAATAAGAAAGCTCTCATTTGTTTAAAACAAATGGCTGCATGGTTCACCAATGCCCAGTGTTCATTGTCCCTGGGATAAAAGTTTAACAGGCTGATATTTGTTTTGATGCATTAATTTATGTTTGTGTTACAAAAAGCTGTGTCATATGTTCTTTTGTTAGTTTCTGCATTTATTAGAATATTTCAAAACCCGTTTTCACTGCCAATGAACAGTGCTTTTTTATGTAAATAAGTGACTGCCACTTTGTGGAATTACAGTTTTGCTCTTTACAGCAGGCATTGTTATCGCTGCTAATGTATTTCTGTCATTGAAAGCAATTTGCATCAGGATAAAAGCTTCACACTGATTTTGTCAGTGGTGTTGACAACTTCCAGCCGAAAAGATCGTGTGACCTTGAGTCATAAACAAACACTGTATTGGCCCACGTGTGTGTGTGTGTGTGTGTGTGTGTGTGTGTGTGTGTGTGTGTGTGTGTGTGTGTGTGTGTGTGTGTGTGTGTGTGTGTGTGTGTGTGTGTGTGTGTGTGAATCTAGTAGCTAGATCTGTCCTTTACATGTTTAATGAACACACATCCACACACACACTAATAATGAGAAACACTCATACACTCTCTCTAAGGTGCACCTGCAAACCCACCTTCTTTGTAGTCATGGCGAATTATGGCATCCTGTATGACATCGGGGAGGCCGAAGCGGACATGGTGTTTCTTGCGCTGGGTGGCCGGGGCTCGAACCTTGAGGCCACCTTGTTGTCTCTGAAGGCCTTTTTCCCTCTCGTAGTACGCCCTTATTTGGTCACAGCGCATCCTCCGGACCAGCCGCTGGCGCTGGCCAATGGGGAGAGACTCCAGCAGACACTGGTCTATCTCCATGTTCTGACGAAAGACATTACATAGCTGGAAGCAACCTGGTGAGAAACACAGAAAGAGCAAGAGAGTGATGAAGATGTCAACTGCCAGAAAACTAAAAAGGCCAAACTAATTTATTCTTGCATTATCTGTTTTCACTGAAGCTTTAGTGGCAAGCTGTCCATCCAAGAAGTGAGGGAAAGTATCTGGTGAACCAGTGAACACACTGCAGTCCATAGTATTTACTGTAGGACACTGATACTGAGCTAAGGAGACCATATCAACTACAACATGCTAATGCTGTCAGTTATATTTGTTAACATGTTCTTGTTTTGTGTGCATGCATGTCTGTGTCTGCAGTTGTGTGTGGGCAGTCGTTTATTATATTTACTGTAAACAATATCTTCTGTGTCTGTTTAGCCGTGGGGTGATATGAGAAAAGCATCACAGCATTTTGTTTGTTGTCTCTCCTGTCCCAGTGACTCTCCTGACTCCACATCATCTCTCTGCCTCTCAGAGGAAGTTAGCCAATCAGATCTCAGGCAGATGCTAAACCTTGTATGGTCTGCTTGGATGATTAGGATGTACAGATCCGAGCAGTAGGTGGGCTCAGAATGGGATTCACAGAGTGTGTGCTCAGGTAAAATCAAGATAAACTTATATATAAATATTTATATAAGGTTATAAATAAAACGTAATCTATTTGGCGTTGATTGCATTGACATTCACATCCACCATTACGGAGGAGGAGGTCTTTGCAGTGTTTTTTTCACCAAACTCAACTCTGTTGCTTTTAGACCCATTTTGTGGTGAGTACCCCCTCTTGGAGCATCGTTGTCTCTATTTTGATCTAAAGTGGTTCTCTGTGTCTCAATTCTTTCTCTCCAATTCTGCTAAAGGGTAATGGAGCTCACATCAGGCTGTTTTTAGTGAGATAGCTTTGAGGAACTACAGGTTGTCTCCATAATTCCCATCATCTATCTCTTTCTCACTCCTTTACCATTTCTCTTCATCTCTTTACTTATTCACAATATGATATGTGTCTTCAACAGTTTTACATTTAGGAGTAAAAATCAGCATAACACTAAAAGGCCTTGACTGGCTGTTAGAGGACTGTTGCTGCTTTGTGTAAACTCTATACAGTGACATGTTGTTTCTTCTCTGGAGGGCCTGAGGTGTGTTTGGACTAGATCTCTATCTGGAGCAGACACAACTATGCAGGCAGAATAGAGACCACTTGCATTGACACATTTATTCAACACCGGCCCCTTCAACCCCAATGTGCCACACATAAACACACACATACACATACACACACACCTTCTGCACAATACAGTACCATCTGCTCTGGTTAGACATGTAAAAAGGTTCTTTTGTATTCAGGTTCCAGACAAGGGGGGGGGGGGGGGGCACTATTGTACTGTTCATGCCAGGTGTCTGCTTCAACTGTATTATATTTTAGAAACTTGGCTGCACGTTGAAAAGACACACACACAAACACAAAAGCACACTCTCCCTACTGCCTTGTCCAATACCACTCCACTCTATCTCTAGGTCTACTGTTATTGCCTTTTTGCTCACCTTTTCTTCTGCTCAGGCCATTTTGATCAGTGGCTTGAAGCAGCAGTTGTGTTGAGTGTTCAGTCTGAGTCCAAGTAGACATCTATGAGATTGGGTGAACTGGTATTTGTTGCCTTGATCTATTGTAAGCTGACATAGAGCTCACTGCAGAGCTACAGTACAGAGCATAAAGAGCAGAAGTCGTCACCACTCCTGTAGGTTTAGGCTAGCTAGATTAGCCATTAGCTATTTCCATTGAACCACACACAATGTGGATATGGCCAACTGTATGTCTCCATCTCTGCCATGACTTCTCCTCCTTGGTTTGGCCTACCCTTCACACTCTTTGTCAACCTCATATATCATCTACTATACAGGCATTCAAGGCTACAGTCACATCAACCCATATACTCCCTGCACATGACAGATGTCACACAACGTGACATATTGATGCAGACTTGATATATACATTAAGTAGCATATGGATATCCATTAGATCAGTGGTTCTCAAACTTTTTTCAATAATGTGCCCCCTTTGAAAAAAAAATTCTGCCAAGTACCCCCTGATCAGCGCAAAAACAATTTGTTAGGGAAAAAAAGCCTATATAAAGAGGTACAGTACAGCGCTGCACCATCAGCGTCTGATTTATTAAAACAACAACCTTGTAACTGAGAAACACTTAAATGCTACATTTCAAATGTTTACAATCCATCACTAAATTCATGGCAAACCAATTTTAACATAATGCAATAACACTAAGACGACATTAGTTGCATTGAACTGATGTTTTTAATAAGTTGTACTTACAATTTAGTGAGAAACCTGGGCTTTTGCTTCACTGAGGATCTTTGTCATTCTGACAGGGAGGCAACTGCAGTTATTACACTTCGTGTTTTGAAATATGTGTAACTCTGTTAATATAAAACCCACACTGCCCTACTTCGTTACTTTTCCTAAAATTGGTATATTTATTTATTTATTTATTTTGGGGCGTGGGGAATGAAGAGAAAAAAATATATGAGCATTTGATGAGCAGGGGATTTTGACTCCTCATATAAACATAGGCCTATGCATAATGCTGCGCTATACTTTGCGGCCACACGCCGATGCCAAGCGACGCTTATTGTTTAGGTCCTTTGATAAGCAGGCAGTCATATAATTAACTAGAACTAGCTAGATCTAATAGATTTGGACATAAACGCGAGTGAAGTATAACCGGACGCGAGAGAGAGATCAGAGATCAGATCAGCTGCTGCTGACGGAGAACACGCAGCTCTTCCGGATCACAGCTCCGCCGCTGTGACGGACCGTTGAGCGGAGCAAAATACACTAAGAGTTAGACCTAACACACTTAGCTAGTTTATCTACCTCTGGAACTAGCTAAACTAGTTATAAATATATGTATTCTTTACTGTCGGGTCACTTACTTATTACAGGTTCAGCGTGCGAGCTGCACGAGACTGACGGGCTGTCAGGAGAGGGAGAGGAAAAGAGAGCACCCCGTTTATTTTTCCCATTTTATTATCCAGAATTACTGTAAACTTTTGAATAAAGTTGTTAATCTACTATTAGTAGTTTGTTTAAATGCATTAATTATATATATATTTTTTCATTAACATAAAATAAATCTCACGTACCCCCTGCAGTACTCCAACGTACCCCTAGGCGTCCGTGTACCCCCATTTGAGAACCACTGCATGAGATGATAAAATAGATTTTCCAGACCACCCTGACGTTAAATAATCATGTTGTCAATAAATGAACATTAAGTGATACAAATGCACTTGTATGTAAATTAATAATGATGTTTGCTCAGTCTGCTAAAAGGTTTTCTTTACCTGCAGTAGTTCGAATGTGGTATTAAATGTTGTGATTGAGGCTATAAAATATGTCCCTTGTGACTTGCTATAAGTATATGTTCCTGTATGTAACGTGGCTGAAATGTGTTTCTGATATACATGTGCGGTGATATATTATTGGGTGGTTTTTCAATACATTCCCAGGAGCATTTCTTTGTCTTCCTTTTGTAGATGAAAATGTCAAATACGGAAAGCACTGACAGCAAAGATCAATAAGAATGTGCCTTCAGTCAATACATACTTGAGTTTCCATTTTTCTAATAAAAACAGTATGCAAATGTGCATCGACCTAGCTGAAGAAAACACACATCATTCACACTTAATCACAGAATTTGCAAAAACTATGACAATGTTTGTTCTTAATAGCCATACAAAAATGGACACTGGCATGTTCTACTGTATGGTGAAGGGCTCTGAACAGACCAGTGACATGTGAATAGGAGAGGGAAAGACAGAAGAGCTGACTCTGATGGGAAACAGAGGCTGAATGAATGAGAACGACGGAGTGAGTGGAGAGACAGAGAGGGATGGAAAGCAGTTGCTTTCTTCTGCTGCCATCAGGCTACCACCAGGCTATCAGTTATTTATTGTATGTGGAACATCCCATGCAGGCTCCAGCTAATAACTCTGACAGCACTGCAGGACGTTGTACATTTGAAATTTGTGCAACATGATGTGCACACACTCAGGCACCGACTGCAAACTGCAGACACCATAAATGTGCAGGGTATATATGGATGTATGTTGTAGGGAGAGATTTGGGGGTAAGACAGGTAGGGTTCTCAGAGTCAAGGAAAGTCTTCATGACAGTATGCATCACCTTCATGATATTTTTCACTTTTCTCCCCTTTTATGCCCTCTTTCTCCTTCCTTTTTTCCATCTGCTCATCATTCTTGGCTGCAATCTTGATGTGTCACTCATCCTATCCTGACTTCCTTTCCATTTCTCATCCTGCCATTCCATCTCCTCTCTGCAACGCTCCTCTAAATCACCAGTTTCCATCCATCTGTCCCTTTTTCCATGAATCGACTTTCTCTCTCTGTCAGTCTGTCACTGTGTTATGAATATGCCAAATGCTCTTGGGGTCTGCATCTTTGTGCCTCTATTTTAGCTTTCTTTCTCTCTGCCAGTACCTGCCGCATTCACCGGTCAACTTCACACATCTGCAGCAGCTCTCTGCAGCAAGCCCACACTCCCACTTACTGTGCACACACACACACACTCACAGGCAGGGACACACAGGGACAAGGATACACACTCAAAGTTAAGATTGTGCTGCTGTGTTGGCAGCTGGTGACCAGAATTCTTAAGCATGTAAACTCATACAGCACATGACACCCTGCATATATAGTAAGTGCTGATACAATTAGCACATACCCTCGGCTGAGGCACACACAAGCACACTTGCACACACATACACACACAGAAAGAGATGGTGAATGGCTACTTACAGCATTTGATGAAATGGTAGTGAGACATTTTCTGACTAAGTCGGACAGTCCGCCAGTCAGGCAAAAAGGCTGGCAGGCAGGCAGGAAGGTAGGCGGGGAGTCAGTAAGTCAAGCAGGCGGGAAGACAGTCGGCAGCTACAGGTTCCAGCAGAACTAACTAATGTAGCCCGGCAGGATGCATTATTAATTTGGCTCCCTGCATGCTACCCAAACTCCGTTCCCTTGTCTGCACTATTCACCGGCAGTAACAGCAGCAGCTCCGGTTGCAGCACCATGCAGCATCTACACACAGACCCAGACTCACACACATACACACACACACACACTCACACAGACATTCACTCCTTCGATCAACCCGTCGGCAAAGGAAGCTGCGGCTGTTTCTAGCTCTCCTCGCCTACAGCCTGAAAACCGCCGCACAACGTCTCCCCAGCCATGACCGACGCACGTGCTGCGCTCGCGTCACTGACTGACAGCCGGCTTAACCCGCCTCCTCCGCAACACACCCCCAATGACGCAATGCTCTTCACCTCCATACACACCCCCCTCCCAGACTCCGTCAATCACATATATGCAGTGACTCATAGGGATGCACACCTCTTTGGACTATCCTCCACCTTCTCAGCCGAATGGAAAAGAAAAGAAGGGGGTGGGATTAATGTTGCCTCCCTATTCTGTGGCGGTAACAGAGAGAGATAAAGAATGAAAGCAGAGGGGTTGGAGAAACCAGGAGGATAGATATAGAGAAATAGAGAAGAATAGAGGGAATACAGATACAGCAAGGGGAGCAAGAGAAAAAAAATAAGCAAGAGATGTAAAGAGACGGAGAGAGGGAATCCTAAATTGGATTGGACAGCTAAAAAGAGAAAAGAGAAGCTGCTGCAGTGCGGCTTTTGGTGCGGTGACAGGTTAAGTGTTCATCAACGGTCTTACACTGGCCACAAATGGACTCAAGATAAGTATAGTTTACTAGAATTGTAGGGCTCGAGACCATCAAATGAACACACACACACACTTCATCATGCGTTTACCATGCTTCAACACACATAGTTTTAAGTGACGCAACATGCACTATGCGCTTGCAATGTCAGTAGGGCAATGTCTGACTTTAAGGCTAATTTGCATATATGAATAAAGCGTTGCATTAAAATGAGGATTTGTACGAGCAGGGTGAGAAGGCGAGTATGAACGAGAGGAGAGAGAGAGGAAGAATGGAGAGGGAAGAGGGGAAGAGCAGACTAGAGTGAAAACGAGGAAAAGATCAAGTGAGATGGAAAGAAAGACTGCAGACTCACACACAAGACAGATGAGCTTAACGAGGTGTGCATCGTGTGATTTAAGGATTGTGACACACATTAAGAATCTGTGCCACAGTGCTCACACATCTGCAAGTTATGTAGCATGCTGCATTTTCTGGGAGGGGGGGGGGTGAGCTAAATCTCTCAAAGCTGTCAAACATGGGCATGTGGAGATGAGATAAAAGGATGTGTGTGTGTGTGTGTGTGTGTGTGTGTGTGTGTGTGTGTGTGTGTGTGTGTGTGTGTGTGTGTGTGTGTGTGTGTGTGTGTGTGTGTGTGTGTGTGTCAGACTGAATGCTCGAGTAATTCCTGTCCTAGGAAATCAGGTCACAGAAGCAAGGTGCTGCATCTTCAGCGAGACACTGCTGGAACAACTGCTCAAACATCTACCTGAGTAAAGAGGCCGGGTTTGTGTGTGAGTGTGTGAGTGAGTGAGTGAGTGAGTATATTTGAATGCCGAATCTCTAGCAAAGATTGCTGTATAGCGACTACTGAATAAGTCATTGCTACGCTCTGAACACCACTTGCGGCTTGCATGCTCCTCCACACACACCAGACAGACAGTGTCATATTTTTTGGTCAAGAATAACACATTGACTAGCCCATTAACGTTGCCCCTGACATCCACACCTCACAGCGTGAGTCTGACAAGAAAATGTCATGCTTTTTCATTTGAATGTCGTGAGGCATTAATGGCCCGTGTGAATGTGTGCCTGCAGGGATAGACCTGCAACATGCTGTATCAGTGGAGCGGGGACGTGCTGGAGCTTTGGGACAAGTAACATGGTAACATGAGGTCTCAATGTGAGACACCCCGCTAGAGGGCACGTTATATCGGGTGTAACAGCATCAAGATAATGTGTGGGAGTCTCGTCCTTATCATTTGTTACTTCTCAGCTACAATCAGGTTTAGGACCTAAGCTGTGACGCACACAGAGTGCAGATTCAGTGAAGGAAATAAAGATAGATAATAGAGAAAAGAGATGATACAGATGTTCGATATTTTAAAATGCAGCAATTGCTGGTGTCACTGTTTTTAAAGATGCATTTATTCCATCTATCTAGAAATGTGCAACAATATACATCTGTGCATATTTGTGTTGCATCATAATTAATGTTAACTGTAGCAGATGCTGTGGGAGATCAACCCCCCCCCCCCCCCCCCCCCCGCCTCCGTACAGCCATGACACGGTCTCCTTTTAACAGCTTCTGTCCCAGAGGACATGACAAAATTCATTTTCTTTGAAACAGCTGTCACTCTGCAATCATCACCCTCAGGTGTCAGTCAATATTACAACTGTGTTACCACTACGATGCTCTATGGTTAACACAATGGAGTGAGTGCATATGTATGAATATGACGGCTGATGCTAATAATGTAGGATGTCTGATGCAGGAAATGTTCCCAATTACGGCAAAGCCAAAGGCAGTGGAAAGTTTGGGGGTGATGCATTATATATGAATTGAGATCTCTTTGGATCAATTATTCAGCAAGTGTGATATATTTACACAAATAAATATTTATTTATTTGATCAGTCACATTTTAAATTCTGGTATGATTTGCTAGATCATAACTGATTGCCATACAGTCCACATGTAATGAATGAGAGACACACACACACACACACACACACACACACACACACACACACACACACACACACACACACACACACACACACACACACACACACACACACACACACACACACACACACACACACACACACACACACACACACACACACACACACACACACACACACACACACACACACACACACACACACACACACACACACCACACACACACACACACACACACACACACACACACACACACACACACACACACACACACACACACACACACACACACACACACACACACACACACACACACACACACAGCAAAACATGTCTTGCTCATGAGGATTTTAGGGGAAAAACCCCACCATTGATGGTACAGTATGATGTTCTTCCCAACAAGGTTCTCTATAAATACACAGAGAATGTTATAATTAACAAAGTTCATTGTGTAACATTTGCTGCAATGCACCGTGCTGTGGTTGGTAATCTGTGGTGGCAGCTTGTTTTTTAGTCACTACATTGGGTTTTATTGTTAAATTGCCAATTTCACTGTAATAGTTTTTGTTCAAAATGTTGCTGACGAAACACTAGGAAATGGTTCGTTGTTCATTTCTTTACATGAGATTTAACTAATTGGAAATTAAACTGCATGGGGACATTCTAAGGCAATACACTGAATCATTACTGCACCAAAACACAAAGTGTAAAACGAAATGTTGAGTCCTCTCAGAAATACATTTTTTACATCTGATCTGAGTATTTTCAGTAATAAAAAAGGACTTATAAGTTGTCTTTATGACCAGTTTCTTTTGTAAGCTTACCTTATAAACACACTAAAGTATTGTCAGCCCATCTTTTTACCCACATGATCGTTGTTTTTAAGGATTAGTTAAAGCATATTTTAGAATATGTAATGACTAGGTGGTGAGCAGCCATGGATTAACAAGGCCAGGTGTTGACTGTCTACACTATGAGTTACACCCTTGTGAATATGTGCTAGCTACAGAAGAAAGGAGATAAAAACATGCAAGTAAGTGCAAGAATTAAACATTTATGACCAAATGGAACTAAAGTGGTTTCAAAAAACAAATATCAAAACACCAACAACACTTAGGCTGTGACTGATTTAAAGGTATGTCCTGTTAAAGTGTGCTATAGTATGTAATTACTGTAATGTGTGAGGTAAAGCCAGATTGGCCCTGTATGGTGCTGATGTCACACTGTTGAGGTTTTGGGAGTGACTTGCTGATGTTCCATCGATTGCTTTCCCTCTCTTTGTGTTTTGAGGCAGTGTTTTACAAAAGCAAGTTAGTATGTGTTTGTGCAAACGTGTGCTTTTGTTAAATATTTCACAGTGTTTGTGCTTCAGAAAAATCATTACATGGCAGATTTCCCTCCAGTTTGTCTACATAAAGTGTGGTTGCTCAAACTGAACTCTATTGACAGGATTCTCAATAGAAGGCAATTTGCGCACAAATAGTAGCATCTATTATACACATATACTGTAGGCACAATATACTGTAACCCAAAACAAGGGAGCAACAAGACAGAAAGATATAGAATAACTATAATTAAGAAGCTATTTAACCGACTGAAGAAGTTTGAGTTTTCCATTTCAAGCAAAATAGAACTTCTCTCTAATATTCATGGCCTTCTACTAGCAGAGACTTAGCATGCAGTAAAAAAGTGCACAGACCTCCGTTTCCTCTGTCTAAAATCTATTTATATTCATAGCATACTTTAGGATGGATTATATTATAATCCAACCATGTCTTCCTCCAAAACAGCAGATCAAACCAGTTTTAAACTGAACAGCAGGGATTACTATTTAATATTCATAATACTAGTTAATAGCATAGCAGCTTTTGGTCGATTCAGAAGTGGATTGTTTCCTGAACGTGGATTAAAATGCTTTTCTGCATGATGCTGCAGCGCAACAAGAAACTGAATCAAAGAGTTATTGTACTTTTCTCAAGTCCATATGAGTGGTAATTAAAGCTGCAGTTATTGACCATTCAGACCGACTCACACATAACAAACTCTTATACAATATCAGTTAATAAAGTTCGTATGGATATCTGTCACATTGTTGATTTGGTGTCATTAGCAGAAAACAAAGTCAATGCATCGGTGGTAAAACATG